CTCCAACACAGACATGGTACAGCTCATACCTACCTGTAGCTCCAGCTCCAGGGCATCTAATGCCCTCTTCTGGCCACCTGCATATATGAGGCTTATGTTTACACTTACACGTGTACACACACATTCACACACACACACACACACACACACACACACACACAATTTAAAAGATAAAATAATTTTAAAAGCAAACTCAGACAAACGCAGCTCAGAGTACCAGGACATCTGTGCAAGCAGCTTCTGTTGTGACAGGTTCCATAAGGAGGGCAGGGAGCTCACTGTGGTATGTGAAGAGCCTTCTTTGGGGGCTGCTGTGGCTGGAGGATCCGGGGCTCCTGGGACTGGCTTAAGCTCTTCAGAAGCCACTCATATGTTGTGTTCTATTTCCTAAATGTTAGGCCTGGAGAGAGGACTCAGGTTCAAGTCCTTCTGGGCAGGCAGCAGGACTCCTGACTACCCAGGAGGGTGGTGGGCAGTGGATTGCCAGTGCTGCTTGGGCTCTGGTCTCCTTGAAGAATGGGGGACATGTAAAGAGACTCCTATCAGCTGCTGGTATTGAAACCAGACAACTTGTGGGTGTTGATTTTCGTGCTGATAGCAGGTCAGAGGTAAATGGGGAGATGCTGCCCTGCTGCTCAGGTCACTAAGCACAGATACAACGAACACATGTCCCTAGTTGAGCCTCAGCCTTCCTTACCTCTCTCCTGGAGTCTTTGCCCTCGCTGAAAGAAGTGATCCGTCTGTTGGCAGTGAATGTCATTCCCAAGTGCTGTTTGCTTGAACCCGCTCATGGACTTGATTATCTGTGTGTGCGCCTGCGCATGCGTATGTGTGCGTACGTGTGTGTGTGTGTGTGTGTGTGTGTGTGTGTGTGTGTGTGCTTGCCTCTTAATTCATACAGCCGACATATTTGGTTGAGAAACACATTATCTATAGAGTGCAAGTTAGTGAGGAAATCTCTGTACATTGGTTAAAGATGCTCGGTGTTGAGCTAACTTGAGGAATGTTTGTCCTTCGTTTATTTTGGGGAGTACAGTTAAAGAAAAACTGATGACCTGCCTCCTCAGAGAGTGGCTCCAGGTAGGGCCTGACCTAGGCTGTCTGTGCCACCAAGGCCTCAGCCCAGGATGTGCTCGGCTGCTTTCCTGGCATCTCCTGGCCCACAGCTGCAGCCCGGTTCCTGCCAGTTCCTCTCTCCAGCCTTAGGCTCCTCCTGGTGCTCTCCCCGGAGGTCTCAGTACCTGAAGTAGGAACGGACCTGCAGCTTCTCCCCATGCGGATGGCTCTAGTGTGTTCCTGGGGTGGGTGAATGGAGACTGCAAACAGCATGAGGTTCTGAGAGGTCTGCCTGCACCCTAACAGAGCCCAGGCATTGCCAGGGGAAACACTGTCTCCTGCCGAAGGGAGAGGAGTAGTCCCTCTGCCACCATGATGCTGTGGAAGCCTTAGGAGAAAGGCACCTCTCCCCAGGGGCTTGCCTGAGGGTTTATTACATGACGTTTTGTGATTCTTCCTGTTTTGACTTTGATAAAGCCCCAGGAGTCACCAGTACAGCTTGCTACTGTCTCCAGGTGCTGGCTGACCTCCTGGGTGTGGTTTGTAGACATGGGAATAGCGCACCTGTGGATAATAGATGCTCAGTTCGGGAGGTTTTTGCTCTGTAGAGTTTAGGCGTGTACCAACCCTGCAAGTATACCAGTGTATTTGAGCATCTGTCCCGAAGCTGCAGATAGGGTGTGTTGCACAGGTGGATGCCAAGTGGGACAGAGATAGATAAGCTTTCAGCATCGGAGCTGTGTTTCCCTGTGGCAGGCCATCGGCTTGGTCATCTGTGCGAGCGTGCAGTTGTGGTGTACTTTCAGAAGCCCCTTCCAACACTGATGGATTCTCCTGTCCTGGTGGGGCAGAGCAGAGCACAGCTGCCCAGGCTCCTCTTGAACTTAGGTCCCTTGCGCAGATGGAGGGTCCTGATCAAGGTTCAAGCAGACACTGTCCTCATCCTCTCCCTTCCATAGCCCTGCTGACATCATTCTGGAATAGCCCTCACATTCCTGGGGACGCTATGTAAATGATTATGACCAGAGAGTTTCTGCCTCCACAACAAGCTAAATTAGTAACTCTTCTTAAGACATATATAGATATAGATATAGATATAGATATAGATATAGATATAGATATAGATATAGATATAGATATATACACACACAAAGAGTGGTAGCCAAAGCTGATTGAGAGGTGTACTTGGCCATTCACACTAGATACCTCTAGACAGTAATGACAAAATGACCCCAAGTTGGAGTGCTTTGCTTTCAGGGAACCTCTGGAGCATTTTTCTGACACGATTGGCAGAATTCATGCTTGTGCACCTTGCTCATGATCTGCGGCTAAGACTGACACCAAGTGTGTCTCATGCTGTTCTGTCATGCCTACGGCCCCGAGACAGGTGCTCTTGACTGTACAGAGGAAGATATGGAGTCTGGGAGAAGTCAGGCCACAGATGTGGGTTCAACTTAGGTCTGGTATACTGCACACCACTCTGAAGCGCTCTCCTACCATACCTGAGAACGGATGGGAGAGGCTAAGAGAGCAGGCACCTCACCTTCTGTGCAGCCTGGCCACAGGGCCCCACAGGTCCCAGTGTTGGCTGCCATTCAAGGTGTGGGGTTTTGTTTCCTGCCTTTCTCTGTGCACAGCCTGGGAAACAGCTAATAAAAGTCACTCACAAATGATTGGCACAGAGCCAAAAATGCAGAGCGACATGTCCCCTCTTCTACAGGCTGTCTGTCACTCACCGGTCTCCATCAGATTGTTTGAAAAATGAAGCTATTAAGAATGAAAAGCAACAACACACTGATGAGCCAAAACTCCAGAGAGTAGAAGCCACAAGGATTTAGTCTGTTTTGAAGTTTGCTCTTGAAAAATAGTGATGTTTCAATTTGACAAATAGGAGAATTGTGAGGTACTTAATACAGACAGAAGTGGCCCTGAATGTGTGGTTCACACTACCATTCTATCATTAGGAAACTGAAGCCCAAAGAGAGGCAGGATGTCCCCAGGAAGCGTTGGGTAGATCAGGGCCTGGGGATTCCCCTGAATGCATGTGTTAAGATACCTCAGCCTCAGAAACCACCAACTACCCCGGCTCACAAAGAGAACTCCTAGTGGGGTTTGGAAAGGGTTTCTGGTGTGGTGGTCCTCACCTTGTCACTGCAAGAGCAACCTGGACTTTTGCAACCTAGTCTTCCAGGTGAGAGCATGGAACAGACCAGGAGAAGGGAGCTGTGTGTGCGTGCTTGCGTGCCTGGGTGCCTGTGTAAAGGGTGTTCCTGTGTCAGAGGATGAGATGCCCTGATCTGTTTCTTTCTCTGTTGTTTTTTTTCATGGGTTCAAAAGCGAATGGAGGTTTGTAGTTGGTTGCTTTGTATTCAAGGGCGAAGGAACAGGAGAGTCCCGGGAGTGTAATCAGAGTCCATGCTTCTACTCATCTGGCCTTTGCTTCTGAAAGCTGTGCCTGAGTGTGCCTGGCCATAGCTGCTAAGCCTCCCACAGGGCAAGCTCAGTTTCTTGAGTGTTTGCAAAAGGAACGGGGTCAGGGACGTCTTTTTGTGCCCTTGGAAAGCATGACTCTCTGATCTCTGGGTCTGTGAGTCAGGTCCTACCTTCGTCCTTGTGGTGAGCTTTATCTCTCTCCTCAGCAGGGATACCACACAGCTGGTGGAAAGAACAGTAGCCCCTCCCAGGCTTTGCTGGGCCTCAGAATGTCCACCACGGCTCTATAGACACTGCCACCAGTCCACCACAGCTCTAGACACTGCTAACAGTCCACCAGAGCTCGAGACACTGCTAACAGTCCACCACAGCTCTATAGACATGCTAACAGTCCACCACAGCTCTATAGACATGCTAACAGTCCACCACAGCTCTATAGACATGCTAACAGTCCACCACAACTATAGACACTGCTGACAGTTTTTAGGTGGTCTTGTTTAGGGAACTGCCTGCCCACAGGAGTGAGGCTTTCATATGGGTAGTGTAAGGTCTGAACAGCCCTTCACTGTGATTCTGCCTCAGGAAGAAAATGTACGTGTGTTTAAGTGGCTTCCCCAGTTTCAGCTCCCCTTCCCCCCCAGTAAAATCAGTTGTCTCTTATCCAAGAGCATCTTGCACAGACCCCCAAGGTAGCTTCATTCAGGCCTGCCTCTTCCTCACCCCCCGGGTACCATATTTCAGATGTTGGCTCTGGGGGATCCCTGGACCTCCAGGCACTAGTAGGACAACTTTTACAATTCTGCCACTTCTCAGGATCATGATGTGGACACAGGGCTCAGAGATGGGCTCAGAGATCTCAGACCTGGGACTGAAGTCCACCCTGCCCTTCTCAGTGGCTGGCAAGAGCCCTCACCTGTCTTAGCCCTGAGACCGCTTCTTCCTACTTCCTTTTGCTGGCTTATTTGGGAAGTGCCCTCTGCATATTGGCCTCAGTGGAACTTAGATATGAGATCCACTGCCTCAGACTGAGCGAAGCTCCCAACATTTGAAAAGGATTTTGTGCAAGATCTCATCATGTGCTGCCTTCCCCGACCATAATAGCAGGTCTTCAGTGTGTTGTAAAAACTTTTATGAGAGGTATGAATCTAACTCCTGATTCCTGAAGAGGGGTGGTAGAAACATTTCCATGCTGAGGTGTTTTGGTGGCTTCTCTGTAATGCTAAGATGGGGAGTTCAAACCTGTTCCGGGCCTGGTGGCTGGATTCAACTTGGCACCTTCTTTTCTTGGGAAGCATCTGGGCCATCAGAATTGTCTCTTGAAAGTGATACTGACTTCCTCTGCATCTACTGGAAGCAGAGGCTCATGTGCAGTAGGGAGGCCTGGCTGCTCAGCCTGGTGCTCCTGACAGGGCTCTTTGACATCCTGCCTGATTCCTGAGAGTCTGCACCTGGCCCGCCCCTGGCACGTCATCCCACAGCACACTGTCTGAAGCCTCTTCTTCTCCCCACAGCCAGCATGCCCACCAGTGAGACTGAATCTGTGAACACAGAGAACAACGTCAGTGGTGAAGGCGAGACCCGGGGCTGCTGTGGAAGTCTCTGGTGAGTGTGGAGGCCGCGTGCCCTCCTTACCCCCACAGTTTAGAGATGGCGAAGGCTGAGAAGATACCCCAGAGGGCAGTGGAGTCTTAGGGCTCTGGTCAGCTGTAGCTGAGCTCTAGCAGGCTGCCTCCGTCCCTTTGGTACCCCTCGTCCTGTGCCAGGCCTATTGGGGCATCCCAGCATCTCACCTGCCTCTGCCTATGAAGTTGTCCCGCTGAGGCAGAGCCTGGGGAGTGTGCTGCTTAACCCAGCCACCTGCTGTGTTCATTAGGTGCTGGTGGAAAAGAAGAGGAGCGGCCAAGACTGGGCCCTCTGGGTGTCGGCGGTGGGGGTAAAGGCCGAATTCTCCTTCCAGTTGGGTTTGGCATCTGTGCTTTGAAGGAAGAGCTTGAATGGCAGAGTTGCTGATTAGAATGTGCCACATACTCAAATTTTCCTTCACCCGGGGTCTTCCAGCCTCATCCCCAGCAGCTGGATCTGGAGGCCCCTCTCCTCTGTTCATGGTCCCTTGTTCTGGAGCCATGCCTGCACTACCCTTTCCTAACCATGGGGGGCACCATCCCATTAAGGCTTCCAGGCTTTCTCTAGATGACTGGGCTGCAGTAGCAGAGGTTGGGGTGGGGTGCGGAGTGGGCGGGCCGCGATGCAGAACGTGCTAAGAACTGCCTGCTTTGGGGAGACCTGTGCTGTTGTGACTTGTTTGCTTCCTGCTTGTTTACATCTTATTCCTGTAAAGTACACAGGTGTCATTTTTAAGAGAACTCTACCTCATTTGGGGCAGAGTTTTATAAAAATGACACACTCTGTTGTAGTATCGCAATGGCTCATGGAGTGATTTCGCCTCTGCTCTCTTCCCACTCTGCCCTCCCTATGACATGAAGCAGGCTGGGAATGGATTTGCCACCCCCATTTTACAGATGGGAACACTGAGCTTCTGGGGCATGCTGTGTCCCCTTCCTCACCCATTCAGTGATCAGGAGAGCTGCGATTCTGTTCCGACAGGAGCAGCAGTTGCTACTGTTGAGATGGGGTTTGCAGGCCACAGCAGCCCTCCTGGCTTCCACTGGGGTGGCAGGAGAAGGCCCCCATGTCTGTGCCGTTTCCAGGGCCACTCTGGAAGGAAACCTGAGAGCTTTTTCTTGCCTGGGCTCTCAAGGGTGCTCCGCCCACCGCCTGGCACACTAGTAGCACTTTGACATCTGCTCTGCCTTTCCACCAGCTGGCCGGCTGTAGGCACGGGGGACCAAAGTCCTGGCTTCAGTGCATGGCTTGAGCCATCTCTGCTTCAGGGATGGGAGCTTACGCTCAGGCCTTCCAAATGGGAGTCTTAACTTTGTTCTCTTCCCTTTCAGTCAGGCTATCTCGAAATCCAAACTCAGGTCAGTATCTTCTATTCCTGTTCATTTTCTTTCTTTTTTTTTTTTTTTTCCTGAAAGCATGTGTTGGGCTTTTTATGTTTTAAAATCTGAATTTCACATAGAATTGGTCTAGACTTGAGTTTAAGCATGGATCCCAAATTTCAGTCAGTCTAAGTATCCCAATCCTGCCTTAGGGAAGCAGAACGGGATGTTGGTGCCTTTAAACACACAAGGCACATTTTGCCTCCTTATCAACCCTTCAGTCTCTTCTTATAGATTTTCCATAATAAAAGGTTCAAGAAGACATCTAGGCACCTCGTAGTATTCAGTTTCCTGATCTGGATGCAGACTACGTGTTCACTTTGTGAGTCTCATTGAGCCATATGCCTGCATTTTGTGTGCTTTCCCTGTTAAAGCATTTCCCTGGTGCACACAAACAGTAGACTAAAACTAATACAACACCTCAACCTGTAGAAACTCTAGAAGAAAACAGGAGAAAAAGCATTGGGTTAGGCAAAGATTTCTTCATATTCATTGCCCAATACATAATCCATATTAGAAAAAAATTGATAGATTGGTCCCCATAAGAATTAAAATTTCTAACTTTGTTTTATTATAAAATAAAAAGATAAGCCACAGACCTGATGAAAATATTTGCGAACCATATTTGATAAAAGACTAGTATCTAAAATAGAGAGAATAATATGTAAAGACAGTGTCAGTGACAAAAGAACCCTATAAAATTGGAAAGAAGTTTCCAGCAGGCAGGTCACAAAGAGGAGAAATGCGTGATATCTGCACACATGAACATGGTTTACTCAGAAAATGTGAGTTAAAACCGTAATTTGATAACTACTGCACACTGATACAAGTAGGTCACATTCAAATATCTATCTGATAATGCCAAGTTCTGACAAGGGTGCTGACAGGTATTTTTGTGGAGTGCTGGCCGGCATGTTAAATGACATAATTATTTTGAAAAAACACTTACTAGTTCATTACAATGTTACATTAATGATATGGCCCAGCAATTCCAATTCTAAGGTATTTATGTAAGAGAAAGACATATGTAAGAATTATATGTGTTTATAGTGGCTTTGTTCATAATTACTTTAAACTAGAAATAACCCAGTGTCCATCAGCTGGTAAAATGAGCAGATCTATTGTGATTTATCCATGCAGTAGAATACTTCTCAGTGACAGGAAGAAGGGGGAAAAATGCTGAGAGGGCCACTGAGATGGCTTAGTGGGAAAGGGGTTTGCTGTGCAAGCCAGGTGACCTGGGTTCTAGAACATCCGTCAAGGTGGAGGAGAGCCAACTCAAGAGAGTTGTCCCCTGACCACCACACACGTGGCCCAGCACGGTTACCCACCACACACGTGGCCCAGCACGGTTACCCACCACACAGCACGTCTCATGTGCACACACAATACCATTGTGGTTTTAAATTACTGATAATGTAGCAATACTGATGAATCTCAAAAGCATTTGGGTGAGGAAAAAAAAAGCCTCTAAAGGATACCTATCGTGATTCTGGTTTTCTGGCAGTCTAGTTGAAACACAGCAGTGGGCATAGAAGACAGACCGGTAGTATTGATCTGGACATGAGGGCCATAAACAGACTCAGATGAGTGATGCCAGTGTTCTACACTTCTGACCGAGTGTAGGCCTAAAAAGAATAAACTTGCTGCATGTAAATTCTATCTCAACCTGACTTGAAGTAAAATTTAAGAGTTGTTCTGTTGGTCTCTGTTACCAAAGACCACAGAAACGCTTCCTAATTTGGCACCTGCCTTTCATCTTCTGCCTCAGCTTTTGACATCCCTCCCCAAATCCTCCCCGACTCTGTAGCCATCCCAGACTGTCCTGTTTCCATAGGTGTCTTGCCTTGGTGACTTCACCTCCAGGGTCCTTGGCCTGATGTCTCCTCTAGGGAGACTTCCACCTGCCTCTGGAAAATCTCAGTCATTAAGGTCCAGCCCAGCTCTTTGCTTTGCAGACAAGCCTTCTCTGGCTCTTCCAAAGAGCATGTAGGCTCCCTTCTCCCTGTTCCTACACCTTAAATCTGGGGCTCGACTTGTGTGAATTTGCAGCTGTCATTTACCCATAACCCTTTGTGCCTGTCAAGGCCAACAACCCTGGAAAAGTGTCTTTTGTATCTCCGTTTACTAGCAACAGGCTCCTATATAACCAGTGTTCAGAAATGCAGGCTTCCGACCACCCACACATGACTGAGCCCAGGGGGAGTGAAACTAGTAGTGGTACATGTTTCCAGGGAGTACGACACTGAGGTCTTCTAGATGTTGTGGGTCACTTTTCCCTTGTCATTACTGTGCAAGATAGACCCACCAAGCATAGCCTTTGGGGACTACCTTGTGTCCCAGGAGAGCCCAGCTGTGAGTTGTTAGAGTCCTCAGTAGAGTACTCTGTGCTGCTCATCATGTTTCTAGATGCCGTTTGTCCCATCGGAAACTGCAGAGTAAAATAAAAAGCAAAGCCCAGCTTGCCGGGTCTGTGTGAAGCCGCCCATTGCTCATCTGTTGCTGGCTTCCTGGCTTACATGTGTTTAGCATAGCAACACAACTGAGTGACATTGAAGCGGGCTTGATTTTCCTCCTGAGTCGTACCTCCGAGGAATGCCCCCCTCTTTTTTTTTTTTTTTTTTTTTCTCGAGACAGGGTTTCTCTGTGTAGTTTTGTTGCCTGTCCTGGATCTCACTCTGTAGACCAGGCTGGCCTTGAACTCACAGAGATCCGCCTGGCTCTGCCTCCCGAGTGCTGGGATTAAAGGCGTGCACCACCGCCACCCGGAGAGGAAATGCCCTCTTGACAGACACTGAGACAGCATGGCTGGAAGAAAAGGGACTTTGCAACCCAGCTGGTTCTTCCCTGGGTTCCAGGTTGCTGAACAGTAAGCCGTCTGTGGTGCCTCACAGTCCACTTATGGGGAGTGTTTTCCAAAAAGGAGACAGGCAAAGGGAAAAATGACTTTCCCTAATCATAAACAGAGACGGAAGGTGGGTGGGGACATGTCACGTGTCTGTTTGGTTCTGCTCATTTTATTTTTATGAAAACACGATTCAATATTGGATCTTCTCCTAAAGGTATATTTTGAGCATTACTAGTTAGAAAGGGCACCCGATGACTCAGCCTGAAGACACATGTCCCACTCAGCTTTGACACCTACGAGGCACCAGAGGAACGCCAGAGATTTGAGAAAGGATTAAAAGCTTCCCTAAAAAGAGAGTTATGGTCATGGATTGCTTTGCTGCCTAATAACTTCTGAATAATGATAAGCTGCCACACAAGATACATATAATAAGCCGAGTAGTTCTGCCCCTCTGCCCCCAACAGATCGTGCGCTATATGACACCTCCAAGATCTTTGTGTGTGTACCGGTGCAGTCTTGAATCTGCACTTGAGTCTGTAGATGTCTGGATTCTCTAACCCACTTGCAGGCTGCATATGTCAGATCAGATCCTGGAGTTATTTATAGCCAGCAGGGAAAGTGATAACACAATTCATTCAAGATTATACTGTTGAAAGCTGCATGTTAAGACTAACAGTTTTTATCATGGGGTCTGTTTGCTTCTGTGTTGGTGGTTCATATCTTTCCTTCCTAAGCCACCTGATGTGAACTTTTATTGCTCAGTAAAGTTTATTGGCCCCTGAGGTGCCGTATTTGCCCATGGTCTAGAGAGCAATGTTTGCTTGTTTTTCAGCCGACGCTGGCGTCGTTGGAACCGATTCAATCGCAGGAGATGCAGGGCTGCCGTGAAATCCGTCACGTTTTACTGGCTGGTCATTGTCCTGGTGTTTCTCAACACTTTAACTATTTCCTCTGAGCACTACAATCAGCCAGACTGGCTGACACAGATTCAAGGTATGGCTGGAAGGTATTCTTCTTTTGTTCTGAATTAGAGATGCTTACAGCGAACACATGTGTTCAGTATTATCTGAAGTGTAATGGGGTAGTAGAACATCCAGTTAGAACTAAGAAGGCAGGAGAACCATTCAGACTCAGGCTAGCCCTGGAACAGATGTACTGCCTACATACACTGTGCGATGCCAGCCAACTTATGTCCCAACCTTGAGATAGCCCAGGACCCAGGAATTTTGGAGTTGATATGCCCGTCTCCCTGCCACATTGGAAGCTTTATCCCCACTTTAGTATTTTTGGTGAGTGATTTTGATTCCACTGCTTTGGATGGCTAGAATTGGGGTGTGTGGAGGTCATCCCCGGGAGAGCCCATTCTAGACTAGAGAGTTTTGAACTCTTGACTTGTCTTTCTGTATTTTGGCTTCCGCTCCCCTCAGCCTACTTGGCATTATTTCTTGCTACTAAAAAAATCTACTAAAAAAATTTCTTTGACAGGGGCTGGAGAGATGGCTCAGTGGTTAAGAGCACTGACTACTCTTCCAAAGGTCATGAGTTCAGTTCCCAGCAACCACATGGTGGCTCACAACCACCTGTGGTGAGATCTGGTGCCCTCTTCTGGCCTGCAGGGACACATGCAGGCAAAATGCTGTATACATAATAAATAAATCTTAAAAAAATATATTGGCACTTTGGAGCTGGCTCAGTAAGTCAAGTGCCTGCTGTGCACGCATGCCGGCCTTAGTTCAGACCCCCAGAGCTCGCTTATAGAAAGCTAGTCACTGCAGTGGCTACCTGTGACCCCAGCTCTATGGGATGGACAGCGACAAGAGGGTCACTGGAACTAGCTGGGTTTGGTGAGAGGCCCTGCTTCAAGGGAATAAGGCAGAGAGTGATCGAGCAGAACGTGCAACGTCTTCATTTGACCCCTGCAGATACTCAACTACACACATGTGCTGATAAACACCCCTCCCTCCCTCTCCCTCTCCCTCTCCCTCTCCCTCTCCCTCTCCCTCTCCCTCTCCCTCTCCCTCTCCCTCTCCTCTCTCTCTCTCTCTCTCTCTCTCTCTCTCTCTCTCTCTTCCTCATACACAGAGAGAAAATAAATAAATAAAAAATAATAATTGACACTAGGATGCCACAAGTGGTCATTCACCAGTGTCCTAGTTTATTATTTATTTATTTATTTATTTTCTCTCCGTGTGGGGAACGTGTGTGTATGTGGGAAGGGGATGGGGGTGTTGAAGAAGAAAACTATAATGTGATCTCAATGCACAATCTTAAAGAGTTTTAGTGTTGACAGGCTACAGGAATTCATGTGATAAAGGTCTCTACCATTTCATAGAAACCGAGTGACTTCTCTAGACTCACTTGTGGGTGGTGGCCGGCAGCAGTAAGGATGATTCCTGTCCCCAGTACAGCAGTGAGGCTGGGGTGAGGCTTTGCCGTGTCTGCCGTGGGCACCGGTAGAAGGGAGGGATGAAGAGCACGCCTGCCCTTTGTCTTTCCAGATACTGCAAACAAAGTCCTGTTGGCGCTGTTCACCTGTGAGATGCTGGTGAAGATGTACAGCTTGGGCCTCCAGGCGTACTTTGTCTCTCTCTTCAACCGCTTTGACTGCTTTGTGGTGTGTGGGGGGATCACCGAGACCATTCTGGTGGAGCTGGAGCTCATGTCCCCTCTGGGGGTCTCCGTGTTCCGGTGTGTGCGCCTCCTGAGGATCTTCAAAGTGACCAGGTAAAGATGTGGGTACCCTCCCCGAGCAGGGGACACTCTCTTCCTCTCCCGTGGTCTCTGGGCTCACCCCCCTCCTCTTGACCTGTAGGCACTGGACCTCCCTGAGCAATCTGGTGGCATCCTTGTTGAACTCCATGAAGTCCATTGCTTCGCTGCTGTTGCTGCTCTTCCTCTTCATCATCATCTTCTCCTTGCTGGGCATGCAGCTGTTTGGTGGGAAGTTTAATTTTGACGAAACCCAAACCAAGCGAAGCACCTTTGACAACTTCCCCCAAGCGCTCCTGACTGTGTTCCAGGTGAGCTCCCGCCTCCCCCCAATCCCGAAAGCACTTGTTGTGAGCAAAGCCAGAGAGCTAGAACCCGTGCCTTCTTGGATCTACCCACAGCTCGTTAAGACCTCAAGATGCCGTTTTATCAATCGTTTCCACCCCGTGGTCCTTGGGGGCAGAATTTAATGTCACGTAACTTATTCTACGGTATCTTCCAGCTACCTGTGTGATAGGACAAACCCAAACACTGTTTGATTTTATGAGATTTCTGTGAAATAGACTCTAAAATCCTCTTGTTTTTTTTTTTTATATCACAAGGCATATTTGCAATCATAGTTATAATAGATTCAAGCCAAGAAGTGAATTTGGACCCATAGCTGGGATGTCTTGGTGTGTCGTCAGAGGAGTCCAGCTGGTAGGGCTGTGCTTGCCTCTGCCCTTTGCTTGGAGTGAGGCTCTGAAGCTAATTGTGCTGTGGGGCTGCTGGCAGTGTCTCAATAGGGGCGCTGTCACTGGAGGAGCAGCACAGTAGCCACAGTGCTACCCATGGGCTGGGGTACACTGAGCCCTCCTCCCATGCTTCCAGCTGGGCCCCTGCTGTGGTCGGAACATGACAGATTAGCGTACAGTGCCATCCGCCCTCCCCAGATTTCACATGTGATAGCAGCAAACATCCAAACATCTAGTCCTGATGAAGAGACAGGGGCATCATGGGAAGGGCAGGAAACAGGTAGGTGTCATAGTAGCTTTCCCTGTTCTTGCTTCTGTGACTTTGAAAGTCACTTGTCCTTTTCTGAAGGAACACAGTGTCTACAGAGAATGATCTAAAAGGTTTCTCATATGGTCATTTGAGATTCATAGAATTACTACTGCTGTAGGCTGGGGCTTCTTAAACGTTTCGCTGCTTGCAACCATTTTTACCCCAAGTTTTTTTTTTTTAACAACCTTATATTGTGTGCGTGTGTGTGTGTGTGTGTGTGTGTGTGTGTGTGTGTACAAATCAAACATTTGCTAGTAATGAACATAAAGAATTAAAAAATATATTTGTGCCTAAACACACACACACACACGAATCTCTCTCTCTCTCTCTCTCTCTCTCTCTCTCTCTGTCTGTCTCACACACACACACACACACACACACACACACACACACGCACACACACACACACACAAAATTAAAAATAAAAGTAAACCTTAAAAATTTAAAGAACATATCTTTGGCAGACATACATTTTCAACATTTATTAAAGACAAATGCAAATTTGCATACTAATCCATAAATAAATAAAGAACTAAGTCTTGGAGCTGGGGAAAGTTTGTGAGCACCTGCCAAGCATGAGGACCTGAGTTTGGGTTCCTAGTGCCCACATAAAAAGCTGGGCATGGCAGTTCCTATTAGTAATCCCAGCATGTGGAGAGACAGCAGAGACAGGAGGATCCCTGGAGCTCATTAGCCAGCCAACCTAGCCAAATCCATGAGCTCCAGCCAACTTCAGTGAGAGACCCTGTCTCAAAGCACATAGTGAAGAGTGATCGAAGAAGACACCCAATGTTGATGTCTGACCTAGACCTGCAGGTGCACCATAAGAACATGTACAGACACATACCACACACACACACACACACACACACACACACACACACACACACACACACACACACACTCTGAAGTCTTGGCTGAATACTGATATTTTTATTTTATCATCATCAGTTCCTAGAATGCCTCTTTGCATAAATATGTAGCACAAAACAGCAGAAGCATGTTTTAGGCCCTTTCAGAAACTATTGGAAATTCCACCATAATTTATTTAACAAGTTGTTGTTTTGTTGTTCTTATTGTTGTTTTTTCCAAGTTTCAAACCCTCAACTGAAATAGAAGTTTTTAAAATCAAATATTTAAACATAATCCAGTCCAGAGATGTGCTATTGTGAGAGCTACATGAAGAGGAACTGATAGGAAATCGTGCAAGTCGTTGTTTTCTGTAATTAAGCACACGTGTTTCTATAAGAACAGAAAACTTAATGTGTTCAGTAAAAACACTGCTGTTCCCAGCCTGCGGTAGTCCAGGCTGAGGGAGTTCAGGGAGGGTTCGCAGCTATTGCATGGTCTGAGAGCATGCGCAGTGCTAAGGGGGTGTGTTGTAAATTCAGTCTAAGGCTGCAGGGACCTTGTGCAACACAACATGTGTCAGGGCTGCCAGGAACATCTCCGGCTCATTAAAGGTTGGATTTTTGAACCAATTTTTGTTTGCTGTATGTTCAGAAACCTTTCACTCTTACCAGGGCTTTTATAACCTCATGGCCTGGTAAGCAACCCCCATATGAAGTCATACCCCACAGTTCGAAACCCATGATAGGGTCTTCTTTTAAATTATTTAAAAGTCATGGCTGCTGGTTAGTTACTGGGTTTGTTTTTTTTTTCTTATTTCTTTCAGGAAACACTTGTTTCCTTTTTCTTGCAATACATTTATATGGCACAAAACGTTTGTGTTACAAAAAGATACAAAATGGCAGTCCTCCCACCCAGCCACCCTACCCCCCACCCCCACCCCCCACCCCCACCCCCCCACCCCCATCCCCCACCCCCCACCCCCACCCCCCACCCCCACCCCCGGTATTCCTGGGTGGTAACCACTACTGACCAGTTTCCGAGTAATCTTAGATATTTGGTCACAGGTGAGAGTCACTCCACCTGCTTTCCCGGGGTGAGTTTGCACAGGGGGGTGGCCCACCACATACTGTCTGGCATCTTGTTTTAGTCGGTTCTTATCTTTAAGAGATGGGCTGCCTACTTGATCCCCGAAAGGTTACAAACGCAGCATAGACAGTGGGTGCGGGTTGCCATTGCTTCTGAGACCAGTCCCTCACAGCGCTCCAGTGGGTGGAGCTGAATGCACAGGACACAGGAGGCGCGTGTGAGAGACCAGGTGTGCGGGACAGGTCCTCCATGTGGGACTTCTGGGTAAAGGCTGCCTCTTACTTGGTACCCTGACAGTGCTCTGCTTATAGCGGAATTCATTCACTCGCAGGCAGCAGCTTGGAGGCAGCCCGTGCGCTTTCCCTTTGCAGAGGTGGGTGTTGGTACTTCGTAAGTGCTGCTAGCCTGACAAGTGAAATGGTTTCTCGTTGTAGTTTTGTCAGGAATGAAGTCAAGAGCCATTTTTCTAATTGTCTGCCCATTTGCTGTTGGACTCTGGTCTGCATAGAAGATAAACTCTCTCCCTAGGGGGTAGCATTTTAAAAACTGCAGTCTGTACTTGTCTGATTGGATTTCAGAATGGATTGGATGACCAGGTATCATCAATAGAGAAAATTACGTTTGAAACGGATTGTTTCTTCTCTTGAGATAGTTTACACACTTTCATGTGACAGAATTCCCTGATTCTGAAAATGCATGGATACAGTTCCCTGTCTCTGCAGACATTCGCTATGTGGAATACTATGTACTGAGCAAAATGAACGAGAAGCTACTCAGTCAGGGTTTGCAGGAATATCACTGAATGGAGAAAAGCCACTTGTAGAAATATGGTATACTTCGTGCTTAAAAAAAATAAGAGAAGTTACCAGTGGCCTCTCCCCTCCCTCCCTCCCTTCTTCCCTTTCTCTCTCCCTCCTCCCCCTCCGTGTGTGTATGTGTGTGTGTGTATGTGTGTGTGTGTGTGTGTGTGTGTGTGTGTGTGTGTGTGTGTGTGTGTGTTTTAATCCATAGACAAAGGTGCCAGTCAGACAGGTACCAACATCAATTGCTGTCTAGGAAAAAAGCTAGAAGAAACAACTCTTATTTGCAAAATTAAATAATACATTAAGCCAGGCAGTGGTGGCGCATGCCTTTAATCCCAGTACTTGGGAGACAGAGGCAGGGGGGTCTCTGTGAATTTGAGACCAGCTTGGTCTACAGAGTGAGTTCCAGGACAGCTAAGGCTACACAGAGAAACCCTGTCTTGAAAAAACAAAATAATAATAATAAGTTGAAGCTTCAGCAGGGTAGCAGGTAGATCAATTTCATTGTGAGCTGGGCTGAGAAAAGCCACTGAGGTCAGAGTTAGTGGTAGCTGAGGAACTCTGGGCTAGCAGCTGTGGCCTGAGGAGTCTACCAGCTGTCTGACCCCAGCCTTGTCTTCTCAGATCCTGACAGGTGAAGACTGGAATGCGGTGATGTATGATGGCATCATGGCCTATGGAGGCCCATCCTCCTCCGGGATGATTGTCTGCATCTATTTCATCATCCTTTTCATCTGTGGCAACTGTATCCTTTGGAACGACCAGAACTATGTGGTCCCCATCACTGCTTATTCTCTGTGAAGTTTCCAGTGGTTGTGGTGTTGGTAGCAGCTGTAGGGGTAAGGGAGACAAATGCCTTCCCCTTGTTCGCTCCATGCTGCCTTTCTGTCCACGTGGCAGATGGGAGCCATATAGTCAGGCTGGTAACAGTGCACGTACAGGTTAGTGTCCTGTCTCCATACAGGACAAGCAGGGAAGCCTGGTGTGCGTTTATGTTGTTGTCACTAGGAGGTTAGGGCTACATCCGTGTCACCCCATGAGCAGTGAGGAGCCACTGATGGATTGTCCCAGTCTTGCCTTGCTCACCTGTCTTCTGTATCATGGTGTACAATCTTTCTCTGACTTGCTCGGTTCCTCTTCCCTGCAGTGGGCTGTTGGGTCCCTTTGTTTACCTCTACCAGCCCCTTCAGGATCTCGTAAAGTTTGGCATTGTGTCTGTTTATTCTCTGGCTCCTCCATGCCTAGCATAAGACCTACTATATGAAGAACCTTCCTAACGGTGGCAAATAAGTATGCGTACAGACATGAACACCGCGTGTTCTCCTCCCTGCTGATTTAAAAAGTCCTGCTATGGACAAGTCCTTCGTGGTCCAGGGCCCCTGTAGCTCATCCCCTCGGTCTCCTTTAGCTCTTTGGTGCACTTTCTTCAGTGTGAACCCTAGAGCTGACCGCCCTGCTGTCCTTAGGGGCAGTGCTTTATGCTATGAGGTTTCTGGGGGAACCCTGTCTCAGCACGTCCACCACATTGCTGAGTCCCTGGGCTCAGTTCTAGTGCCCCATCCTCCAGGGAGCTCCTCTGCTCACAGATGAGTTCACTGAGCTCTGAATTCCCCCTCAGATTTTGTCCGTGTCTGTTGGTCGTGTGCAGAGTCCACTGTCCACTGGAACTTCTGTGGGCACGCCCCCTCCTCCCCAGCCAGATGACAGCTTTGTGGCCAGGAGCCTCCTTCTTTGTGTTGACCTGCTTCCTGGTAAAATGGTGCATAGTGGCCCTTGAGGACATTGTTAAGTGAATGGTTTTCCTTTTCTGTTTTCCTCCTGACTGGCTGTAGCCACGCTGTGTGCCAGGCTTGAGTCTGCCGACTGGTTCCTGCCACTCCTCTCTGGCTCCCTGCTGAAGCTCTCTGTAGCATATGCCACCACATGAGGTTCTTCAAGAGTTGCTTAGGTTGCCTGTCTCCATCTGGGACAGATTCTCCATTACATCATGTTTCCTCCCGTATCCCCAGTACCCAGAGGGGCTGGCCTGCCCAAGGTGCTTTGTAGATCTTTCTGAATGAATTCACAGAACACCCCTGTTTAGGAAGCCTGGGCCATGCCTCTGAATGCAGGTGACATTGATCCAGATTTACACTCCACTTCCCACAAGTTTAGTGTCATGGCAAGGCCAAGAATGGGATTCTTTCTTCATGGGGTCCATTGAGAGACATGCTTGAGACAGCTGTTTCCCGTGCTGACCCTGGCCTAAGCCACCATTGCAAAGCCTGTCTGAGGAGTTTCCAGCTCCTTGTGCTATCTCCAGCCCAGGAGAGATGCTTTGTCCAAGTTTCAATGTAACTCACCCAGGTTTCCATCCTCCTGGAGTCTTGAATAGAATTAGACACGGCACCCTCCCCTCCCCCACACCAATCTTACCATTAGGCCCTTGTTAGCTTTCATTGATACATGTGTTCAGCAGCCCACCTGGAAGTTTCTAATATACAGGGCACATGGGGCCACGGTCTACTGCTCCTGTCTCTCCTATGCCCCTGCTGAAGGCTGAGCATCAGGCTTAGGGAAACAGGCACCCAGCACAAGACCCTCAGCCCCCTGGGCTTCTCACAGAGTTCATAAATGCTCGTCAATAAGGAAGTAATCACATCTGACTTGAGGCTCTCATTAAGAAAACATTTTTTTCTAAAAATCCTAGAAAACATTGCAAGCAGTTTTATAATTTAAAAAGCTTATTTGTTTGATACATTACCATTTACAAAAGTATGTTCAGCCACAAGTCTAGCCACAGTGGGGCCCTCCAGACCACAGCCTAGCCTCTCTTGGTGGGAGCTCTAGATTGCCATCCCTAGCAGGCATCTGCAGAGTGAAGAATAAAGGAACTAGCCACAGACTCTGGAGCCCATGCTAGAGGAGAAAGCCTCCTGCTATTTTGTGTGATGAGATCATCGTTCAATCACCTGTGGCCTTTGAAGGTGTCTGGCTTGCAAAGGAATCCCTTGAATATGTATGTTATAATGTGTGCTTTCAAAGAAAATGAAACACAATGTGCTACATGAATGTACAGCGGTAGATAAGAAGGAGACAGTGAAATGTGTGTTTCCATGCATCTCTGTAGATAGTCAGGGGACCCTACATAGGTTTCTATGCTTTTTACTTGTTTTTTAAAGTGGGATTTTACCAAGTTCTCCAGTTGTACCAAGGGAATATCACACTGGGGTCAGTCACCCACTCCCAGCCACCATGAGCAGAGGAGTGTGACATCGCCATTATCAACTCTGCGTAATTGCATTTAAAAACACATTGTACCCTTAAGATTTTCAAATTAGATATCCTACTGAATGTCTTCTTGGCCATCGCTGTAGACAATTTGGCTGATGCTGAAAGTTTGAACACTGCTCAGAAAGAGGAAGCTGAAGAAAAAGAAAGGAAAAAAATTGCCAGGTAATCCTGTTTTCACTGAGGCATTTTCTCAGAGGTGCTAGGAGTGCTCAGCCATGCTTCCCAAGGGGTGCTAGGGACTCAGCCATGCTTCCCAAGGGGTGCTAGGGACTCAGCCATGCTTCCCAAGAGCTGAGGCCCTTTATTGCTGCCTTGCAGTGATTATAGGTAACTATGTGGTACCAACTAAAGAGAAGGGACTCTTGGATAAAAGCCAGGCTCTTGGCTCTTACCCTCAGAGCAAAGAGTAGAAGTCACACATCCCTGTGCTTACAGAATCACTACAGTTAATTGTGGCATCATAAATTAAACGATGCATTCAGTGCTGGTTAACTCTTGGCTGAGGATTTTAATAAGATGATCTGTGTAATGGCTCCATTGCATTAGATGCACAGGAAGCCCCGAGTTTGTGTTGCCCTGTACTCTTGGCCATCAGTGTTTCCAACTGAATTCTGGGCCTCCATCCAGCACTGTTGATTCAGAATCCTGGTTAGCCCTTTAATACACAGCAATATGGTTATTCGGTTTCTTGTGTTCTTTTATCTGTAGAAAAGAAAGCCTAGAAAATAAAAAGAACAACAAACCAGAAGTCAACCAGATAGCCAACAGTGACAACAAGGTATTTTTTCCAGAATAACTTCTCTGTGTTTCAAAGTGATTCTGTTGGTGTCTCCATCACTGTACCACTTACACCATGAAAGCGTCTTTGAGTGTGATATTTTACTGTGAAAAATAGAGCCTACCATATAGGACTGGGGATTCTGATTGAGTTAGAGAGGGAGCCGATTGACTAACATTTCACCACAGGGTGTGGATACTACAGCAATTAGACTACTTGTTTTATTTTGAGTTGCAACTATGTGGTCAGACATAACCCATGGCTACAATTATGTTAGTATCTTCTTAGTAGGTGTTAAGGCTGGGGTTTTTTAGTAGTCCACTGTTCCCAGAGATGACCTTAGAGTCCAGGTGGTCTAGGAGGCTTCGAGGCTGCCCTATCAGGCTTCATCACACTTAGGATATTTCTGTGATGTGTTTGTTCATGAAATGGATAAACTCCGAGTAAGTGACAGTTGCATGTCAAACACTAGACTACCTCCATGGAGTTCACAGTCTAATTGAGTGACAGGAATCTAAATGTGGTCATCACACAGTGTATGTGCTTGCACTGGAATGGCAAAAGGACAGAACCATGGGCAGTGCTCACTGTGACCTGGGTGGCAGCCTGTCTCTTACCTGCTCTTGGGCCTTTTGGCTGAAGCAGAATCTTTATCTATCATCTCTGCACATACACACACACACACACACACACACACACACACACACACACATTTGCATAAGAGCCCTCGTACTGCTGAGTGGCAGGGTGGCCCTCTGGCTTTGGCCCTCTGAAGTACATTAAGTCAGCATTCCCTCTCTGTTGTCCTAGGTTACAATTGATGATTATCAGGAAGAGACTGAAGACAAGGACCCCTACCCGCCCTGTGATGTGCCAGGTATGTGGGGCAGAGAGGCCCAGAAGTTTGGAGATATGGGGGGAGGGGTTGTCACACGGGGCCGCTGAGGCCACCACCGAGGCCGTGGGCCCCATTGTCTTGGAGAGCAGTTAGCTCTGTTTTCCCCCAAAGTCACAGGCAGCACAGAGGGACTTAAATCCCAGGTTGTGGAAGAGGAAGATGGACTGATAGGCACAGCTTTTGCTAGAGAAGTGGTTGTGGGGTGTTGAAGCCTGAGGGTAAGCATGGCTGTGACTGGAAATCCACAGTTTTTCTGACTGAAACTGAGCAAGGGGGTGGCGGGAAACAGCCAGATGTTGTGAGGGTGGCAGCGAGGCTCTCACTATGTCTGTGGCCGTACTGTGCCCTGGAGGATGCCTCCTCCCCATACTCCATAGCTAAGTGCAGCAGACTTGGATGGGTCCCACCCCCATGCACATGCGCCCATATTCTGAAGGAAAAGGAAGGCTTTAGTTGGTGGAAGCAGTAGATGTTAAAGTTTAAGCTACATTTTAAAGTGAAGTTGAGAACAATAATTCAGACCCATATGTAATCTTTCACACCTATAAAAACTGTTCCGTTTAAAGTAGGTGAAGAGGAAGAGGAGGAGGAAGAGGATGAGCCTGAGGTTCCTGCTGGTCCCCGTCCTCGCAGAATCTCAGAGTTGAACATGAAGGAGAAAATTGCGCCCATCCCCGAAGGAAGTGCTTTCTTCATTCTTAGCAAGACCAACCCGTAAATACTTCCTTCCTGGTCTCTTTGCTGCCATCTCTCTACAGTGACTCTTGAGGGTAGTGGGGGTGGGGTAAAGAGCAGTGGTTCACAGCCCCCTTCTGACCCTGAGTGTTCCTGGACTCCACAAGTTCCCTTCAGCCCTGCTCATCTTCCTGGCCTTTGCTGTGCCATTTAGCCCCGAGGAAGTGTCCTGTTCCCTTGTGGGTGGGACAGAGTCCTGGGAGGAGCCTGCTCCAGAATCCCCACCCCCACAGCCCCCACCTGGGAACAGCAATAGGGCAGGGACTAGCTCAGTAAGACATTATGGCAGAGTCCATGGCTCTCCTGTTGTGTACACTGGCCACCTCTAGCACCCTTTCCTAACAAGTGGATCTTAAGATGCTTTATGGGATGAGACTTTTGTAAGCAGGTTCTGCACAGCATCTTCGTTTTCTGATCCCATTTAGGTGATTTCCCCCACCCCCACCCCCCGTTGAGTTTTATGGTATTGCTCATGATGCTTTATAGGCTCTAAGCATTTGATTCAGCACTATGAAACTGTGCTTAAAATAGCATCTCTCGTATTAAAATGATAAGGTGCTCACCAGGAACATGGTAATGACTCATCCACTGGGAAGGAAGAAGTCTATTTACTAGCTGGTTTCTAGGTTTAAATCATCTGGGATTAAGTGGGCTGCCAGGGGGATAGGTAGCTCCTGGGAAGGTTTCTAGAAGAATTGCAGAAGTAGTTCTTGGCTGTCGGTGAGGAGCACTGTGTAATTCACAGGCCCTGCAGAGACTCAGGTGGGAAGCAAGGCAAGGCTGGAGTCCTTGAAACATGGCAGTTTCGTGATCGTTTACACAGTCAATTTGTTGGAGTTGTGTGTGAATGACAGGAGGACACATGTGTCCCCCTGCATAGAGAGGTTGGAGGACAACTTTAGGGATGTGGTTTTCTCTCCCCTTTGTGTTAGTTCTGGGATCCAACTCAGGTTGTCAGGCTTGCATATAAAGTCTTTACCTGCTGAGTCATCTGGTCCACCCGGATGATCTTTATACAGCTCCTCACTGGGCATCCTTTAAAAGGGAAACAGTAGAAAAGACTGTGACACTGTTAGTGATGCCTGTAGTCCATAGCTTATGTATGGGTATGGGAGGAATTGGTCCATTTTTCCAGAAGTCAAGGGCACCCCTGCCCTCATTGTCTTGGAAGGTTTCCCCCAGGCCCAGCTACTGCATTGTGCAAGCCTTCCAGGAAGTGTACAATGCTGAGTAGCCCAAGATGGGGACACTTGAAGTGAGGAGTCACCATCATACAAAGGTGACTCTTAGTTTTGAAAATAAAAGTTACTTTTCCTGAGGGGAAAAAAAATAACTCTTTAAATCTGAATATTGAGAGTAGGGTGTTTTGACCCGGCCCCATGGCACCTTAGGGGAACAGGAGAGATTCTGATGGACCCCAAGAGCCATCATGAAAGACTTGGATCTGGGTTGAGAGACCCAGCTGCCCTCCTCACTTCTCAGGGTTGCAGGATTCAGTGAGAAACCCATCACAAAGCGCAATGAGATCCTTACATGTGAACAAACAATTCAACAACTTTTGCTTCACCTCTAAGGAGTACTTGTGGATCAACTGTTGGATTAAAAATAAGACATTTATGGGCCAGCGAGATGACTGAGTGGGTAAAGGTGCTTGCCGCCAAACCTGACTGCCTGCCTGAGTTCGGTCCTTTCATATGCATATGAAAGGAGAGAGCTGACTCCCAAAAGTTGTCTTTTGAACTCCACATGCACAGTGTGGCATCTGCGCCTACACACACACACACACACACACACACACGAGGAAGGGAGGGGGAGGTGGGAAAAGAGAGAGCGAGAGCAAACAGAAATAATAAAGCGTTCTAAAAGTAGGACATTTGTGACAAGATTTCCAGACAGCGGGACCTCACCAGCTCTCTCTTGTTGCTGGTCACCTTCGTAAAATGGTTCCTTTGTGGGTAAAGGAGGGGATGTGTCCTGTTCTTTGTGTTAGAATAAAGACTTGGGGCAAATTAAATCTGACAGTTGAGTGGAGCACAGAATGACGCACAGGTAGAGCAGCCCCTAGAGCAGAAGGCATTCCATGAGCTTTGCTCTGCGGTGTGGAGACGTCGTCATGGACAGAACTCCGAAGGGAGAGACCCGGCTTGTCTGGCCACAGCACCACCTGCACCCAGCCGTTGGTTCCAGGAGTGTCTTCCTATGTTAGGCCTCCAGTTAGTTTGCAACTAAGTCGGGTTGTAGATTGTTGTGTAGTTTACTCAGGGGACTTACTTTGGCCCAGTTTTCTTTCATAAGTCAGGCTTTATGCTGTGGTAGAAAAAAATTAGCAGTAGACATGTCTGCATTTGAACTCTACCCCTGATCCTTCCTAGCTTTGTTACCTTAACATTCTTTCATATCCATAAACCTCAGTTTTCTCATATTTTTTTAAAAGATTTATTTATTTGATATGCATACAGTATTCTGTTTGCATGTATTCCTGCAGGCCAGAAGAGGCAGCCAGATCTCATTACAGATGGTTGTGAGCCACCATGTGGGTGCTGGGAATTGAACTCAGGACCTTTGGAAGAGCAGTCAGTGCTCGTAACCTCTGAGCCATCTCTCCAGCCCTTTTTTTTTTTTTTTTTTTTTGGAGCTGAGGATCGAACCCAGGGCCTTGTGCTTGTTAGGCAAGTGCTCTACCACTGAGCTAAATCCCCAACTTTTCTCATATTTTTAATTATTTATTTTTATGTGTATGATTGTTTTGTTTGCATATATGTCTATTGCTACATGTGTGCAGTGCCCACAGAGGCCAGAAGAGGGCATTGGATCCCCTGGGACTGGAGTTACAGAAGGTTGTGAGCCTTTGTGTGGGTGCTTAACCACTGAGCCATCACTCTGTCCCCGGTCCCACCTTTCATCTTTTGGAGGACAGTAACCTCATGTGTAAGGATTGGATGAAATGGTCTCTGTGGAACTCCTGGCACAAAACTGCTCACACCACAAGCTGGCTGTGGGTTTTGTGGAGCAAACTGTGGGCCACACTGTTCTTCCTGGCTGGAACCCAAGAGCAACATAGCCTTTGGCCAGCCTCCTTCTGGTCTCTCCCCCAAGAAGCCCCACACCCTGGAGGAGCCTGGCAGGCTCAGGCCTGTGTCCATGCAGTGCTTTTCTCAACAGGATCCGTGTGGGCTGCCACAAGCTCATTAACCACCACATCTTCACCAACCTTATCCTGGTCTTCATCATGCTGAGCAGCGCCGCCCTTGCAGCCGAAGATCCCATCCGCAGCCACTCATTCCGGAACACTGTAAGCCTCTGAGAGAGGAGATGTGGGTGGGACTACCCTGGGGGTCAGCCCCAACCTGTTTGTGTCAGGGGCCATCCTGGATATAGGGCCCAAGCATGGGAGCCTGGGGCTAGAGCTTCTTAGTATGTGGTGCCGGGGATTTGCTTTCTCTGGACCAAGCAGATGGAGACGCATATTTAGAAGTCTCTGCAGTACTGCCAAGTGTCTTCAGGGATCTCTTTGGTCCTTTCTTCTTACATTGAGGTTTCCCTTTCCCCATTAGAGGCATAGTGATGGCTCCTGAGAGGTCTGGGTCTAAGGCGAGAAGGTGAACTTGAGCCCCAGCATGCCATAGGTCCAGGACCTCTGCCCTTGGGTTAGTGAAAAGAGTTTCTTCTTATGTAGCATTTACATGAGGTTGCTCAGCTACTCCACTGATGAGAAACATGGGTCAGGGAGAAGATGTGAGGGCAAGTGGAAAGGGGCAACAGGTCCTGGTTAAATTTTCAATTATTTACCCAATGTCATAGCTTATGGATGGTGCCACGGATGCATCTGTGTTAGAAGTTGGTTGTTTCTAAGTTAGTCTTTGCTTCGCGATCTCTTTCTTAGCAGTTCATCTAACTCAGTCCTGAAGAAACTTCAAAGACATATTCAGACAACCTTGGGCCTGTCAGGTGACCACCAAGGCACTGCCCTGGAGAGAGGCAGCAGGGGCCCAAGACTGTCAGAGGTGCCCGTCTCTTTCTGCACATCAGATCGATAGAGACTTTAGGATTAAGACACATCAGCCAATCAGTGCCCCCAGCTTTGTCTTGATAACTACACCCTCATACTGTAGCTCCCCATTTCTGGTTCCTGGCAAAACTGTTGTCAATGAGAGGGTGCTGTTAGGAGACAATGAAAAGGACTTTCTGTAGTGCGAATTCTCATTGGTCTAATAATAGAAACCTGGAGCCAGATATTGGGGTAAATGCTGAAAGATCAGAGAAGTAAAAGAGCCAGCCACTAGAGAGACTTCTTACCTCTCAGAATCCTCCGACTGAAAGGGTCCAAGCTCCTGTCTTCACCCCACCTTATCACTTCCTCTCTCTGCCCAGCCATATCACTTCCTGTTTCCTCCTCCCAAGTGCTGGGATTAAAGGTGTGTGCCTCCCAAGTACTGGGATCAAAGGCATGAGATCCCAAGTGCTGGGATTAAAGGTGTGTGCCACCACTGCCTGGCCTCTGATGGCTAGCTCAGCACTCTGATATCCACGAAAACTTTATTTGTTAGAGCACAAACAAAATAGCACCATAACTTTCCCCTGTGGCTCAGATGGAGATGAAGACACCAAGCTTGCCTCAGTCCACCCTCACAGAAAGGCTTTGATTTAGAGAGCCTCAAGGCTATCTTCATTTAGGCATTCCAATGGAATGAACACCCCTCTGTCATTGAGTTCCATCATGAAAATGAAGCTTGAGGCAGAAAATGTGTTTGGAGACAAATTATGGTATCACAGGTCGGGAGCCAGTCCAGGCTAAGTGTCTACCAGGAGCGGATTTGTGTTTCTTCTTATTGTCGCCTCTTTCCCATGCATTTGTTGTCCTGTTTCCCCTGTCTCTTTACAGATGTACCTATGTGTGTGTGTTGCTGTTCTAATACTGCAGTGTTTCATTGGAACGGTAGCTGAGTTTTTAATGAAAGGGAAATAGAAGCTGTGTGAAGAAAGTAGTCTAAGAACTTGGATTGGCCCCTAGGCACCACGTCAGCATGGCTGCCTGAGGAGGGAATAAGGGAAAGGGGGTGAAAGCCTGATAGTCCATAGTTACACGGAACTGCTCTAGCAGTGTCTAGGAGCCCAGAAATGGGAAGATTTTAGGAAAGGGTGACCTCTGGCGAGAACTGCTGTGGACTTCCCACTTCTGTGGAAGAGAGGCACAGGTCCCTCTTCTATAGAGGAGAGGCAGTGTGGCTCCAGCGTTGGCTACAACCAAGGGAGGAGACATAATGAAAAGAGTTACTCTTGAATGAAAAGAGTAAGCCTAACTGGTCTCTCCAGACTTTCCAACACTGATATCTTCAGTTCTCAAAACCATAGGCAGTCCGGCAAGATGGGTTAACAGGTAAAGACACTGGCCACCATATCTGACTACCTGAGTTCAATCCCAGGGACTCATGGTGGAAGGAGAGGATCGATAGCTAAAAGTTGTCCTCTGACCTCTGTACATATACTATGGTATGTGCATGTGTCACAGATAGTAGATAGATAGGTAAGAAGGTAGGTAGGTGGGTGGGTGGATGGATGGATGGATGGATGGATGGATGGATGGATGGATGGATGGATAGATAGATAGATAGATAGATAGATAGATAGATAGATAGATAGATAGATAGACAGACAGACAGACAGACATGCAATAAAGCCACAGCACACCATTTCCATGAGATCAGCACCCAGGACAGGCTTGGCTGCCATCTTTCTGGTTAAGAGGCATGGGGTCAGCAACACACTATGAGTAACCTTGTTGGAATGATCAGACTTCACTTCCCCTGCCTCTGAGTCTTCATGGCTCTAAAAGAAATCAAGAACTTTGCATCAGGAACTCACAAGACTCTTCTAGATAATAGGTGGTATTCAGGAATGCTGGTAGAGCAGCCTATACTAAAAATTAAAACTCTAGGTCAGTCTATTCTTTGCATGGGCCCAGAAAAGCAAGGATCAATCTTGGGAAAAAGCAGAGTGAGATATAGAATGTGGCAGGAGGAAGACACCAAGTACAAACCATGCCTCACAAACTGAGCCATCCTGGCATATGAGGGTCAGGTAGGGAGATCACGTGATAATTAAATTGTCCTGGGTCCACAGGAACATACGAAACTTTCTGATTTGATGTCATTAGCTTTTATTTATTTATGTTTTTAATATTTAAAATGTTAACCTTTATGGTGCTTGGAATAGATCCCAGGCCTCAAAGCTCAGTTAGCAAGAGCCTCTACTACTAGGTTATACTCTTGACCTCACCACTGATATTTCTTCACCAATCTGAAGCACAGCTCGACGGCAGCGTATTTCATTTAGCCAAGTTCAAAACTGCAAAACGTGTATGATTCTCATTCATCAGGGCCTACAGCACTAGTAGTTCACCCAGAGGGGAGGTTATTAACACAGGACTTTCAGAAAGCAGCCCCTGTGGGCCAGGATAGGAGCACGAGAAGTCGGCCTGAGCAGGTAAAGGAAGCAAGGCTCCCCAACATTTCTTGGTGGTCACAAAGAGGAGCCGTGCATGGGGGAGGTGGGCCCTTCGTGTATCTCAGCCCTCCCAAGGGAGAAGCAGGGTTGTCCCACTTGGGAGAAGGGTCTCTGGCCACAAGTTGGGGGCTCTGCGCATGGGCAGGGATCTGCCACCGCTTGTTGGGGGTGCCTTGTTCTGATTGCCACATGTTGTGCCTTGCAGATACTGGGTTACTTTGACTATGCTTTCACAGCCATCTTTACGGTTGAGATCCTGTTAAAGGTAACGCGTCTCTCCTTGACCTCCTCTGCTAAGGCGGGCCGCAGCGGTAATGGGTGCCTTCTTTGCTTCCCTTCCAGGTGCTAGGTTACGCAGACTATGTCTTCACGGGCACTTTTGCGTTTGAGATCATTTTGAAGGTAACGGGCCAGCCAGCCGTGTGACTGAGGCCCGCTCCCGTGCCAGGCACAGGAGAGATGCGTGAAGTGCTTTGAACTTTTTTTTTAATTCTGTGATCAAGCTAAACTTTTTTTTTAAACTACAGAATTTTTTTCCCCTGTGATCATTCCAATGTGTTTTTGCAGTTTTTCTTTAACCTTTGAGTGCATGTAGGAGCTACTTTGGCTTCACAGTCTAGTTGGATTTATATTTTGTTCTTTAAAAAAAAAAAAACCCGTCTGAGATATATTGACTCCTAACGGATACAGCACTCTGCGTGAACTTTCTTCTCCCCTTCCTGACATCAGAGTAAGAGGAAAAGCACTCATGCTATGGCAGGAGGAACCACCCTCTCCTTGCTCCTGGGACTGCACTGTGGTCCCTGTGTCCTTGAATCGTAACATGCTATTTGCTTGCAACGGGTCTTGCAAGCTGAGTTGGGTCTACTTGTGTGGAGATGTCCAGTATCTGTTTTGATGGCATGGGCTTACATCTGCACACACCGAGGAAAGTGTACCTGAATGTACTGCCCATGCATGACCTAACAGGTGACATCATTGTGTGTGCTGCGTCCCGACTGAGCACCCCAGGGGGATGGACGTTCCTTCCTAGATGCTCAGAGGTCTGGAGATGCAGCAGAGGGCTCAGAGCCTCCAGGAGTTGGGCTTTCTGATTTGATTGTTACAGCCAATTCCTTGTGGGAAGAAGCTGAGAAATGAAGAGCGTTAACTATAGTTGTCTTTAAAGTATTCTGAAGTTTATGTGTGTGCATCTTTTAAAAAGATGTACTTTGTGTTGGGCTACTGGGGACTTGGGCTCCTCACAAAATCTTCTATTGATGAAACCTCAATTAATATGGACAGGGAGTGGCCACTTTGTGACATTGATAATGATGAGTTCAAAACCACCCACCCCAAATATGTTCAACTCTGTTTCAAATCTTATAAGAATTTGAGTTTTGTTTGTTTGTTTGCCTGAATGTAAGCCAGGGGGTTCAATTTTGGTCCTCTGACCATCACGGCGGAGCAGAGGGGTGGCCAAGGCTTATATCCCTGTGGTAAGGTCTGTGCCACACAGCATGCAGGGTCCCTACCCCAGGTTCTCTTTGCTGCCTCTCCCTCAAGCTGAATTAAGGAGCATTGTTCCACCAGATCTATTAGCCTGGTGACTTGAGATTTTGCTTTACCATCTGCCTTTCTGAATTGTGAAGTGAGTGTACATACTCCTGGGCTCTGGGGCCAATGAAATCCTGGGTTATTTAACGCTGTATTTTTCCCATCTGGAGAACTTGCCCATTGAACTCTTCCTGTGGCCAGCAGAAACCTCACTAGAGAGCACCCACTACACGTGCTCCTGCTATACAAGCCGTTAAATGTGAGAATGAGCCTGGCTTCCCGTAACAAACGCCTCTTTGCTTGCTACACTTGATATGGTCGAGTAACATGACTCGGGAGAGATGGGAATTGGAAGCTGGGGCAACCAAGTTAAGGGGGAAAGGACCCTAGGAGTGCAGAGCCAGGTGCCGCCCCTAGCTTCCACTGAGAGGGTTTAATGAAAACTGTTGGTGCTCCCGTAACCTTAGAGCGGCTGACCCAGGCCAGCACTGTACAGGTAAGCTCAGCGAGGCCGTGATAGCCTTCTCCCAAGCATGGTCCTGTGCAGTCTCTCCTGAGGCAGGCTCTTTGGACATGCCAGAGCTCTGTTCTTGTTTGAATTCTGTCCTCTGAATAGACCCTGGACTGACCTCTTCAAAAGTTTGCCTTCAGTCAGCTACCCCTTTCCATTTCTTCTGACTTATTTTGAAGTAGGTTGCATGGTCACTCCGCCCTGTTGCTTAGCATTTGTCTTCCTTACGGACAGTCGTTAATAAAGTCACACTTGACTGTCAAGATTTTGTGAAGAGCTCGGGCTTTCTGTTTGGTTGGTTTTGGACCCTGGAGGGGAGGAGGAAAAAGTAAGTGACGCATGATTCTGTTTACAGATGACAACTTTTGGAGCTTTCCTGCATAAAGGGGCTTTCTGCAGAAACTACTTCAATTTGCTGGACATGCTGGTTGTTGGAGTGTCTCTGGTGTCGTTTGGGATTCAGTAAGTATTCATGGGTCAGTAGAAAGAGTTATACGTAGGGAACTGGAACCTAATTCATTCAAGCTGGGCGCCGTCTGATGATTACAGGCAGGATAGCTTACCTTGCCCCATGCCAGAAAGTGCTGGGGCCAATGCTTTCCAATTTCTGTCTTTGTTTGTTTGTTTTCCTTGTATCTACTGCTAGGTTGAGTTTATTATTCTCTTTGAAACTGGCTTTCAACAGCAGACGAAAGACATCTTGACTAGAGGAGAGTAGACTGGGTTGCTCTCAGGCCTGGTCCAAGACTCCGGGCATCCTCTCTCAGGGTGGTGGATTTCTTTCACTGCAGGAAGAGCTTGGCCTTGGCGATCTCTCGGGACCCCTTCCACTTCCTGTGTTTGCAGGACACAGCTGCTGTGACCTTTGGGGGCATTTAAGAGTGTCTGGTGGGGCTGAGCGCTGCCTTTTTACCCTGTGCAGTACCTAGGACAGTCAACCATGGTTACATCTTCTGTGACCTGGCTTCACTCTCCTGCTGGCCTGTGAGCGTCTCTGCTCTGGAGCTGCCTGGCAGTACCCCAGTGTAAGCTCACATGTACATCACAAGCCCCTTAGCCAAAGGTACCTGGAGAGGACTGTAAGTGGGCCACAGTGAAGCCAGGGAACTAGACCCCTCTGTGGGGAGAAAGACAGTTTGAGCATCAAATGGCTGGGCTGTCTCTGGGGTGGGGGCAGAGAACAGTGGCTGGAAGGAACAGCTTGTCAGTTTTATGGGAACAGGTAGCAGCAGGAGGGGTGGGGGGGTTGCAGGCCAGAACAGCCTGAGAATTAGCATGGGGGCTTTGGTCTGTTGCAGGCTGTTTGGGTTAATCAGGAACTAGATGCCCTCTGCCTGAGGGAGTTGACCATGGGGGCAGATAAGGGAAGTAGTGGCTTTTCCTGACAAATAGAAACCCACTTCTGAGGAATGCTAAGTTTAGGTTTTTGTTTACTGGGTAGCAATCCTTCTGCGTAGCCGGTCAGAGTCCGGGTGAGCCCAGGCTGTCGGTGAGAACACTATCAGCAGTACTGTCATTTGAGGGGCCTGCTTTGGACCCGACAAGGCCCCGGGATTCCTGCCTGGAATTGCCTTCCTTGTCTCTTCAGCTGCTGCCTGGGGAAGGAAATGCTGGATTGGCTTCCCAGGAGAACCTTCAATGTAGTCTCTTCACAATTCTCACCAACCCCCAACTGTCCCTGCTCTTTCCAGCTTTCCCTCTTGCACACCTCCTCCCAAGCCTTCTTGCACACTTTCTCCTCAGCCAATGTTGCAACCACCCCCAACGGATTAACCCAAGCAGCCTGCAACAGCTCAAAGCCCTCGCGATAACTCTTAGGCTGTTCTGGCCCCCACCTGTTCCCATAAAACTGACAAGGCTTTTCCTGCCACCTGATGCAACCTGCCCGAGAGGCCTTCCCAGCTGCCCCTAAGGTCGTGCCCCACCTTCCCTTCCTTGGAGGAGCACACCGCCTTTCCCCACACCCGAGTGTGTGCTGCTGAGGGAGGTGTTACCCATCCCTCCTACCAGATCGAATCTCTCAGAGGCCAGAAAAGCCCAAGCACAGGTCCCCAGACTTAAACACTGAAGTCTAAATGTCAGGAAACTAGTGTTTACATCAACATAATGAGGTAAGTCTGTAAATGCCTCTGTAAAGGCAAGCTATGTGCCTGAAGTAGAGCCTCTGCCAGGGCCCCCGAGTTCCCTCAGGGGGCAGGAGGCCAGCTTGGTGGCAGAAAGGAGCAGGTCCTGCTGAAGTCCTGAAGAGAGACTACAGTTATGTAGTGTCATTCAAGAGACGGTCACATGAAGCAGCTGATCTCAAGGCTCCTATCTGGCCGTAACTCAACGTCGCTTGCTTTCTTACCGTTACCTCTGTCCTCCCTCAGATCCAGCGCCATCTCCGTGGTGAAGATTCTCAGGGTCTTGAGGGTCTTGAGGCCCCTCAGAGCAATCAACAGAGCAAAAGGGCTTAAGGTATTGACCCCTCTCCTTTGAGGGGGGCTGGCTTGGGCTGGGGCTGACTGCGGTTGCTAACTGTCCTAGTCCAGAGACGAGCTGAGGCTCCAAGTGGGACCTTTCCACCAAAAAAGCTGCCTCTGCCTAGCACTGTCATTCTAAAAGTGAAAGATGGCTCATCGGGTAAGAGCACTTGCTGCCCAAGCATTGGGGCCTGCGTTCGAATCCCAGGCCTATTTAAAAAGCCCTGCATGCCCCTCACACTCTTGTAACCCCAGTGCTATGTGTGCAGTGGCTGAGACACAAGGGGCTTCCTGGTGGCCGTCCTTGCTCTGAGTTCCGTGAGAGACCCCCATCTCGAGAATATAAAGTAGAGGCTGATAGAGCAAGACATACCGTGTCCTTCTCTACTTATCTCACATGAACAGGCGTGCACATGGGGGCCTGTATCCACATAACATGTGTAACACATAACACACATACACAGCATAATTACCTTTGCTTTGTTAATTGGAGATGATGGTCATTATAATTACAATAACGATTTGTTACTTCTTTATCAACCGTATTTCTTTGTGTTTATTTTAAGTTGTAAATCATTCTCATATGGATTATACAGCAGGCCAAAGGGTTGTCGTCTCTATAAGAGCTTTCTGGGATAAGGGTCTTGTTGAGCCTATGTGCAGGTGGTGTTTCTCTCAATTAAACCAAACTCTTTAGAGGAAGCCCAAGAAGAGACACTGAAAAAGTGTTCTTGGACTGGGGCTGTTAAGAGTACTGTTTGTTCTTCCAGTAACCACATGGTGGCTCACAACCATCTGTAATGAGATCTGGCGCCCTCTTTTGACCTGAAGACATACATGCAGACAGAATACTGTATACATAATAAATAAATGAATATTTTAAAAAGTGTTCTTGGACCAGGAAACGGCTCAGTGGGTTAAGGCACTTAGCCTGATGACCCAGTTGAATCTCTGGGATCCATGTGCAAGGAGAGAACCAGCTCCTGCATGTTGTCCTCTGGCTTACACACACACACACACACACACACACACACACACACACACACATGCACACGCACACGCACACACACAATAAATAAATGTAATAAAAATGTAATAAAAATAAAAGTGCACGTCATAATGAACACAGTACTTATGCAATAGGTAACCAGGAAAACAAAGCATGGGGTTAGAACAGTTAGAAATTCATGTCAAAATGCACCCAAGCATAGAGCCCTGGCCTGGTGTTAACTTATCCCATGACTAAAACCAAGAAGTGGGGTATCAGCCTTCCATCCTCTCTCTGTTCTCTCCCCAGCACGTTGTCCAGTGTGTCTTTGTGGCCATCCGAACCATCGGCAACATCATGATCGTCACCACCCTGCTCCAGTTCATGTTTGCATGCATTGGGGTCCAGTTGTTCAAGGTAGGGGTACCCTCTCGCCCAGGGCTGGAGTTGGTTTCCATCAGAAAAGCCGTATTTGACTGTCCATCTGCTCTGTATCCAGGGGAAGTTCTATCGATGTACAGACGAAGCCAAAAGTAACCCTGAAGAATGCAGGTGGGTATCCCGAGAGCGGCTAGGGAATTTGAAAGAATAGCAAGCCTCACGGATTGACTCATGTTAGCATTTCAGGGGCTTTTGTCAGGGAATAAGAGGCCTGCCCACTCAGCTCATGCCTGGAAGGATAGTGATTTGACTTTTGTTGTTTATGTTTTCAAGTCCAGGTGAAACTCAGGTAAAGTGAGACCATGATTGTTTAGCCAGCATCTCTAAGGTTTAACACATTTTTATCATCCTCAAAGAATGAGTAGCTGGCTCTAGCTATTTAGTATAGATCTTATAAACTGGGGAGGGGGGGTGTCCCAAAAGAACAGTGACCAAGGGCCACCAGTATCTCTCCTGCTATCCAAGTGGACTTTGAATGGTATTCTCCTAAGCCAGGCTTACAGCTCAGTTCCCAGTGTTCAGGAATGAGCTACCCTCTTCTAGAAGACTTGGCAGACTTCTGTGCTCCTTGTTCCTAGTGCCTGCATTTTGGACATATTTCTGTTCACAACAGCAGCAGCAGAGAAACAGCAAGAAATGCTCACATCTTATAATCCAAGATGTTCAGTTAATATGGAATGTTTGCAGTCCATGCATGCATTGCTCAGAGCTTAAGGCTACAGAAAATTTGTGTCCCTGACCTTTTAGAGTTACGTTTGGCTGGAGTCTAGCTGCCTGCCCTGTATGCATTGGTTTGGATTTTCTTGAACAAACGATGTGGCCATGGGGCATCGGATACAATCTGCCTATGACCACATGTGGCATCAGGGATGCTGTTGGCCTGGGCTGAGGGACGCAGAGCACCTCCTCCAAGCTGCTTAGTGCAGCCACAGAGTGGTGGTGTCGTGGGCCCTTCCTCTAGCTACCTGTTGCTGTGAAATATCAGTGAGAGGCTTTATCTCATGGGTTCCTTCTACAAGTACATTTCTGTAAGAAATGGTGTGTGACAGCAATTACAGAAGTCTTTTGGAAAGAAAATTGAGAATATCAGTGGTCTGAAAAGGAAGAGATTTGTTGAAACTAGAATGTGGATAAGCATATACCTTTGCTTGCTTCTCAGAGTCTATGGAATTCTGTGGCCAAAATATTGATTCTTCCACATGTATTTGTAGCCCCTCGTACATGAGGCACTTTTACTGTTATTTATTAAGTGGTACGGTGTTATTCATTAAGTGATGCTATTTACCATTTGAGAAAAGCCAAAAGCCACGAGATACAACAAAACCCACTAGGTACAACAAAACCCACTATAAGAGTTTGTTAAGGGAAGGGAACAGAAGGGATGTGCTTAGGCCTATGGAAAAATCATGCAGGAAGAGGAGGAGGGATATGCGGAACCCGCTTTTATAGATCCCCCCTCCCCCCACAGATGCGCATATGGGCTTACATAGCTATGCCATGCATGCGCACAGATGACATGTTACACTGCACAACAATTACGTGACCACTCAGCGCACGGATTAGGTAGGACGTAAGGCCCTGGGATGACTAAGCATTTTGCCAGCCAGTGTGCGGTCATGGTCATGGGGGAGTGGCTAGGAATTCTAACATTTACTGTTTGGGCATGTCTAACTGCTAACAGGTGCACACTGGATCTCTAGCCACCCCTGCCCTGGAGAGTGCACTTTGCACTTGTCATGGCTGGAGACTTACTTGGAGGTATAGAGCAGATCAAATGTGGAGGAGAAAGGGAGAAACCCCATCTGGGCTGTGTGTGTGTGTGTGTGTGTGTGTGTGTGTGTGTGTGTGTGTGTGTGTGTGTGTGTGTGTGTGTGTGACCTGGCTGGGGCTACATATGATGTTCTGAACCAATTCTGTCCTATGTGAAGCCAAGATGACTCTAACTCCTTTCTCCTCTAGGGGGCTTTTCATTCTTTATAAGGATGGCGATGTCGACAGTCCTGTGGTCCGTGAGAGGATCTGGCAGAACAGTGACTTCAATTTTGATAATGTCCTTTCAGCCATGATGGCGCTCTTCACAGTCTCAACTTTTGAGGGCTGGCCTGCGTGAGTATAAAGGATATCCAGTCTCCCCAGGAGGTGCCTACTTGCTCCTTGGGGACTCTGGGCTGTCGTCCTTCCAGGAGAGGGGTTCTACTTTTGATCTTCACAGCTGGCAAGCTTGCCTGTGACTAACTTTGGGCATGATTTCTTGCCCATCGTGGCTCCTCCATCTGAACAGGCAGGTGTTACACGTCTGCGTCTTACTTCTGGCTTCAGATGTGAAAGGCCGGGGCAGCCTCTCCCTGTGTGGTTAAGGAGGGCCTAAGAGGCATTTGCTGTATTGACTGCGGTTGGTAGATGCCCTTCTGGTGTTCTTAAAGAGGATTTGACAGCATCCAAACTGTCCTTCATTCACTCATTATGGTACATACTGAGCACTGATGTGTGCCAGGCATGGACAGATGCTACCATGCCGTTTCTTTCATGAAGGTGCTCAAACACTCATTCATAAATTATGCCTTTGATATCAACTCCATGCAATGTGCTGTGTTAGGCGGCGTGGAGGAAATCACATGACCATGGCACCGGTCCTCCCTCAGATCCTAGAGCTAATAGAAATGTTACATAATCATACCTAGTATGGAATGGGGTCTGGCTGAATGGCTGGGATCGGGTGAGTTAGAATACCAGAACATAAAGAAGGAAGTAAATAAAAGGCAAAGGGGCGTCTGTACCACCCTGTTGGCTTCCTTCAGATGGGTCATGCCCAGAGGAGCTTCAGGAGGCAAGCGCCCAAACTGGCTCCTACTGGTTGCCAGGGCTCTCGGGTGGCTGTGAAGGACGTTCTCAGAAGCTTCTGTGGACAGCTGAGTAACGTTCGCCTCCTAGGAAGCTGATCTAGGGGAAAAGGTGTGGAGGAAGAGCGAGACACTGTGGTGATGTAAGGTTTGGGACACCATGCCTCAGTGAGCCATTGGGGCAGCTGACGGGATGTGATTCAGCCTGGGGCTTGGAGCTACAAGGACCTGAGGCCAGCTCTGGACTCTGCCCCTGAGGACTGTGACCTTGGCACTTAGATGCCTTTCTGACCATCGACAAGAAGGGAATGGTAGTAACACCTGCCCTTCTAGGGAGAAGGAAAGGTGGAAAGAGGGGCCGTGTGAGCTTTTGCACATGGAGTGAGGTCAGAAAGGACTGACTATATTAGAGGGGGTTAGTTGAAACTGGGTGGTTTATGGTAATGTCCTTCTTCGTAGGAGTTCCGTCTGACACTAGAGTGTCCCTTTAGAAATCTTGTTTGGGTACTGGGTGTCTGTCAGTGCATGCAGTTTTCAGCTCCTTCAAAGTGTCAGTGTGATGCTCCTTATCTCTTATCTGTTACTAGAAGGTGGCGTTGTTGACTGTTTGTGAGATCCTTTTGATTTTTTCAGTTCTCCAGATAGTCTCTGGATGATTATATCTGGGCAATCCCTCATCTATGTACTAGCTCTCTGGTCCTAAGGCTGAAGATGCCTCAGTGACCAGGCTGTGTTCAGAGACCTTGATGTCCGCCCGTGCCATGACTGTGCAGAGGAATTCTGGGAGCATCTGGTGGGGCAGTGGGCTGGGCGGGCTGCTTGAACTGTGGGGTTGGCAGGTTCTCACCCAGTTTTCCTGTTGTCCAGGTTGCTGTATAAAGCCATTGACTCGAACGGAGAGAATGTTGGTCCCGTCTACAACTACCGTGTGGAGATCTCCATCTTCTTCATCATCTACATCATCATTGTTGCCTTCTTCATGATGAACATCTTTGTGGGCTTCGTCATCGTCACCTTCCAGGAACAAGGAGAAAAAGAGTATAAGAACTGTGAGCTCGACAAAAATCAGGTTAAAGTCACACACTCTTTGTGCTTCTGTCCCTCAAGCAAGAGCAGAGCACCTCCTCTTCAGTGGCTTGCTCTACACAGAGGAGAGGGTTCACCCCAGCTCAGGCCCTGTTCAGAGCACACCATCAGCCATGTTGAGTCTCTGCAGAGGTGGTCACCAGACCCAGAATAGACTATGACTGGGGAAAACCAATCCCCAAGCTTGTGGTAAGGGGTCGGAGAACACCGAGGCCACAACCCATGGTCATGGCTGACCAATGATGGTTTAGACTCCTGTATGGCACTGTGACCCAGAGCCAGAAATCACTCACTCACTCCAACTCGCACAGTCCCCACGGAGAGGCTCTTTGATACCTGCTTGCTGCAGACTTTCTTCATCTTGGTGTTATTGATGTTATAGGCTGATCCTTCTTGTTTGTGCTCCCCGAGCACAACTCTGGGGCAAGGAGCAGAATCCCTGGTCTCTACCCACTTGATGCACTGGCATCCCCTTCCTCCAGTAGGGAGCCAAAACATTCCCAGAGATTGCCAGAGGTCTTCTGGGGACCACAGTTGCCTTCAATCAAAACGAGCTGTCATTTAGTAGGAAGAGTCAGAAGCTTTGAACTTGGCACTAAAGGTTTTCGGGCATTGTTCATCTCCCTCCCTGTTTTAGAAGTAGGAGCCTTGGCTCTCACTGTGTGATAAAGCAAGGAAACCAAGAGCCTGTGCTCTGGCCCTGCTCTGCCTGTACCTGCTCAGTGACATTAAGTGCATCGCTGCTCCTGGAGTCTTGGCCCCTTATCTCATTTAGAGGTTGTTTATGAAGGCATGAAGGAGTTTACCCCTTAGACATTCTCTTGAACCTTTAGCATATGAGTTCGAAAGTCTGTTTCAAGGGTTTTCCTCTGTCTTCTGCCAGACACATCTCTGCTTTTATGGTAATGTGGTGAGCAAGAATGGTCTGGCAGTGAGGGCTTCCTGCAGTAGTGGCCATGGTGTTTTGAGGTACCCCTGCCCAGGTGGCAACTGTGACCACATGTGAGGGCATGCTGACTTGGTTTGTGGAAGAACTTTGCTATGTCAGAGTGTCCTTGTAGACTCTACCAGTGCTAATCTGGAGGAAATCTGGCTTATTTCTTTGCCTACCCATAGAAGACAAGAGTGAAGACCGGGCTAGGTAAACCATGCAGAGTTGGTGTTACATGTGTGTGGGAACCTAAAGTCCCAAACAGGCTTGAATCTGGTGTCCCTAGAGTCAGAGTGACACTGAGTTCCAAACACAGAGAACTTGTCTGACGCCTGCTGTGTCTGGAGTGAAGGCAGAGAGGAGGGGGAGGGAGGTAAGGAGAGAGGGGGTTGGAGGAAGGGGTGGAGGGAGGGATGGAGGCAGGAGCAAGCCTGGAGGCCAACTGGAGGCTCCCTCTCAGCTTGCTCCAAAAAGGAACTGATATCTGTCCCAGAGTAAATAGAAGGACAGTGGTCTGTTTAGAGCCAAACTCAGTTCAGTCTCACCATCATTACTGACCATTCTCTGGAGATGCTGAGGAGAGCATGGTAAGCTTCCACTCCCATAAGACTGGACAGGCATCTTCTGTGAATCTGCTAGAGTGTCCAGAGAGCTTCCAGCCTCAGAAAGTAAACTCGGCCTCTATGCTTCTTGAAGATTCCATGCCTGTCCTTAGCTGGCCTCCTCTTCTGGAGGACAACACAGGCAGACCTGGCATCACCACCTACGGGCAGAGAAAGGCCCTGACAAGGCTTGGTTCAAGCCCCCCACTCCCACCCTCACCCCTTGCCTCAGAGACACTGCAAGAGTCTCAGCAGAAGCTGCATGGGCTCTGCCTTCAAGTCTGAGCCAGCACAGTGGCTGTTCTACTTGCTTCTTGAAGTTACCACCAGTGTAGGGGACCAGCCCCCACACTTATTTACCCCAGGAACTCTTAAGGAATGAGGGATAAGAGACTTAGTTAGAGAGTTAAGAAGCAGAGAGAAACACAGGATAGACTCGGGAGGGCCTGGATCCTTATCCAAACGGGCCCAGAACTTTATTCCAAAGGTCTGTTTATAACAATGCCAAGGGGTGGAGCAAAAGACCTCCCTCTTGCCAGTTATAGTCACCTGGTACCCAGGCCCGTGGTCCAATCAATCTCTTATGCAGTCCTTCTGGGTACAGCCACTAGGAAACCTAGTGGGCTCCAACACACAAGGCAAATTCTAGGTCCTACCAGAGACTCACTGTTGTTCACGGTCATTTCCTTGAGGGCCAAAGTGAGCTCCTCTAGGCAGATGGCCACTTTGGGCTCCTTCCCTGGAAGCTCTCAAAACCCCTGTGTTTGCCCCTTTTTTACCATTGCAGCGCCAGTGTGTTGAATATGCCTTGAAAGCACGCCCCTTAAGGAGATACATCCCCAAGAACCCCTACCAGTACAAGTTCTGGTATGTGGTGAACTCCTCGCCTTTTGAATACATGATGTTCGTCCTCATCATGCTCAACACACTCTGCCTGGCCATGCAGGTAAATATGGAGATCACTGTGGTGACCAAGTCCAGGTGTGCCACCCAGCCCTGTACCCCCAGATCCTGAAGGTGACATGTTCCATCTCCAAGGGAAGGGGTTTGACTTTCTGACAAGCCTGGATTATAGTGTGGTCACAGTTTACTCTGCCTGACCGTTGTCATGGTAGACACATAAGGTACTTACGTTTGGATCTCTCTGGGTGATAGAGCTGTGGGGAGTGTTTCCACAGAGCCTGTGTGTGGTATTCAGTCTGGATCCTGGGACCCAAGAGTGGCTGAGTACCAAAGCCTGATGCCACACAGGCCTCAGCTTCTGTCCTTACCAGCTGGTGGTCTTGAGAATCTTACCCCGAGCCATACTTTACGAGTAATGTGGGAAATCTTCCACGCCTACCTCAAGCCAAAGGATTCTGCTGAATTATTCAAGTCTGGCACTTTGAAATTATTTTTAGATTTTTTTTAAATTTAATTTTATGTGTATGAGTGTTCTGCTGCTGTGTGTGCCTGGTGCCCACAGAAGTCAGAAGAGGGGTTTTAATCCCCTAGTACTGGAGTTACAGATGATTGTGAGCCATCATGTGGGTGCTGGGAACCGAACCCAGGTCCTCTGTAAGAGCAAGTGCTGTTAACCTTTGAGCCATCTCTCTAGCCTTCATGTCTCACACTGTGGTCTAGACCTGTCACAGTGGTTCTCATGTTATATTTCTGCTTCAAGGGGCTCCCAGTGTGGTAGTGCAAGGTTTGATAGTTTTCTGAAATATCGACCTCAATTCCAGTGACTTCTTGCTGACCCTGACCAAGTCAGATTGCAGAGCAGTGTTGACAGTGACCCCTTGAGCAGTTACTGTCGGATAGCTATGACACTGGGTCGGGAAGCAAGAACCAAGCTCTACAACCAGAGTCTGCCCAGGCTTGAAGAACTCAAGCCAATCAAACCCCCAGTTCTTTGACAGGTCTATAGTCAAACACACATTTTCAGACACGTTCTTAAAGTTAAAAATGAAAAGGTCTGTATGTTGATCTAGGGGAAGGTGTAAAGGCTAGGTAATACCACCTTTAATAAGACATAAACCTAAATAGTATAAGATTTATCACTAATCGAATTCTACCTTTATCTGTAGACATTTAGGTGGTGTCTGCAATGTGTTAGTCAAGGACCTGAGCATCATTCCCAACAGAGAAAGGGTGACTCCCCCTTACCTTGAACTGAAAGAATGGACATGTTATTTCCTCCATCGTCCAATCATTCTCATCGTGTTATGGACACACACACACACACACACACACACACACACACACACCCATATTTTGTGGAAATTCACCATATGACCTTGCAGTACTGGGTTGAGTTGCTGGGAGAGGATGCTGTACTGGAGGGTGGGAAATGCCCCCAGGGTGCAGATGGCAGGGGACCTCCCATTATAAGGATGTGAGATCATGAAACTTTGACAGCAATTACGTCTGCCTTTATCCACAGCACTACGAGCAGTCCAAGATGTTCAATGATGCCATGGACATTCTGAATATGGTCTTCACGGGGGTGTTCACTGTTGAGATGGTTTTGAAAGTCATCGCATTTAAGCCCAAGGTAAGTTGCTGGATCTGCTTTGCAAAGGCTGCTGTTGAATGACCCCAGAGAAGGACCTGCTTCCATTTAGCCTTGTGTTGCTGAATTATGCTGAACTGTTCTGGTAGCTAAGTAGGTTACCACCTGAGAACACTAAAATCTGATTAGGACGTCTGTATACATATGGGAAAATAAATGGGTAAAACCAAAACCTTATGAAAACAATTCTGAGAAAAAGAGAGGAGAGAATTGGGAATTTGTAGGCTGGTTATCACTGTAAACCCTGGTTCTCTGTTTTTGAATAGCATGTCGTGCTGTCTCAGGAAAATGTAGCTCATTATCTGAGTACTGGGGGAGTGTCTGATAATCATCAGAAAGAGTTTGACCCTGATTTCACTCTGAGATCTCTAGCACGAAGACAGCTTCTATTTGTGGCTGGTCTGTAGCTTCCTTTTTACCTTTTATGGAAAGTTCTGGGACCTTCTTACTGCTATACCATCTTCTGTTTGTTGGATTTAGGAAAGCTTCACTTGTTTGTAAGGAAATGAGGCATGAACTATGTTACACTGTGTTGAAGGAATGATTGCATTGTGCCTTCTTTGGGAAGGAGTCAGTCCAGCCCCACAAAGCCCAAAGACTGTGGTGTTGTGACAAGCCATGTCGCTTGGCATCAAGGAGCACAACATTGAGACATCTGAATCCGATCTGCAGTCCATCACAGCTTACTTCACTGCCCCCCCACCACTCTTTCCTCCTCTGTGCTATGAGGAGACTCACAGTCCAGTTGCTGGGGGCTGTTGTGGAGAGTGCATGTTTAACCTTCAGGGTTTTAAGGGTGCCTGGCACGTAGCACCGTGCTGGAGACTGGTACTGGCACCATCATACCATCACCACTACCTTCAAGCAACAGTGTTCCTTTGCTCTAAAGCGCTGGACTGAGGAGCCGAGATGAGCTGACTTGGCCGGGGAGGGGTGAGGGGTTGGGCGGGTAGTCTCCTTCCTAGCATAGACCCTGACTCTCAGAAGAGAGAATGACAGAGCCTGGTGCCTAGGTGTTTGTACTCTGTGTGGAGTAGCCAACAAATAGGGTACAGCTTCAGAAATGGTTGGTTTCATGTACTCTACAGTTATCCAGAATTTGAATTCCAGCCTGTTCCTTTCTTTAATTTGAAGTAATTCTTAGGCAATCTTTAATCGGATCTTTGCGGACCAAAAAGAAAGGACATTTGTAAGTGATTAATTGGGGTGATTGCCGTGGGGTCAAATTTGGCACCTTACGCATGGCCAGATGTTACGTACTGTGACTTGTCCATACCTACCTACATATACATTCCCTCCTTTTCCAAATTCATCAGAACTTCCTTGGGGACCTTGGTTTGCTTCTCTTTTGCCTATACTTCTTTGAACAATATCTGTCTGAACTGATGGGAAAGGTTGCAGAGTCAGAACGTGGAAAGTTCTTGAGAAATGTACGTGGAACAGTCCCATGGATCATTTCCCAGCAACTCTGTGCCATGTCTTCCTGTGCCTGGTGATTAAGCTTCTGCACTTTTTCAAAACATGTGCAGGCGGAGGAGAACACACGTACCCCACAGCATGTGAGCATGTGAGAGTGTGTGTTTGTGTGTGTGCATATGTGTGTGAGTATATGAGAGTGTGCATCTGTGCACATACCCTCTAAGGCCAGTGTATCAATGGCTTGTAGCACATTGCTTGGCCCAGTGAGTTTCCAAGCCTGGAAGGAGCATCAGGCGTCATGTGAACGGATAGGTAACACAGTCACACAACAGAAGCTCGTTTGCAGTCAGTGCTAATAGATCAGAGCATTTAAATGGTGATTTCTACCAACAAGTACATTGCTTTGTAGATTTGCTCATCAAGATATTTTCATGGCCCCAGATGACCTCAAATTATAATCCAGAGAACCTTTACAATAACAGCAGTATCCTTGCTCTTGAAGAGCAGTGTTGCTGTGATGTTTCATATCACTTTGTGCCAAACAGTGAAGGGAGAATGGATTCACCAAGACACCGCTCTCTTTCCTGATGTCTCTCTTGGCCTTTAAACCCCATTCTTCTCATTGGTGAGCACTAGCCAAACCATGTGAGAGTGTTTTCTTACAGAGTAGCTGGGGAGGGTCCCTCTGTCCTAGTTGGTCAGGTCAACAGGCTACCTGTCTAACCTTATGCACTCCGGGACCCAGCCCTTGAAATGGTGCCACCACATTCAGGGTAGGCTTTTTCACTTTGGTTAACCCAGTTAAGAAAATTGCTCATAAGCTTGCCAACAGGCCAAGCTAATCCAGATAGTTCCTCATTGAGCTGCTCTTCTCGGGGGAGTCTAGGTTATGTTCAATTGACAATTAAAACTAGCAGTCTACAGAGCGAGTTCCAGGACAGCAGGGCTATTCAGGGAAACCCTGTCTCAAGAAAAAACAAAACAAAGCAAAAACAAACAACCAAAAACTAACCAACTAGCACAGTAACTTAAATGTCAGAGTCAGAAATATTTCTGAATAATAAAAGCCATTACATGTGGCTGGCTGACATGTTCTTTTCAGGCATGTAGAAGCTAAAGAAGGGAAGGAAGGAAGCCAGACAGGAAGGGAGGGAGGGAGGGAGGGAGGGAAGGAGGGAGAAAAGATTTGGTTGCTGGCTTCCCTTGAGAGGCCCTGGCTTCAGAGCTCAGTTATGGAAGAGTATGCCGCTCCTTCAGCCGGGAGGGTAGGTGGGAATGGGCCCGGTGTGTGGAACCATGGTGTCTTCAATGCAGGAAGGGTGAGGAGCTGAGTCATGCTGCCAAGGCAGTGGTTTCATGAAATAGGAGGCTGCTAAACAGGGAAGCAGTGTGTGGGAAGAAAGGGAGGGCTGGCATTTCTGCCTCCCCTGGACTGTCAGCGCCACCTGGCTCGAGCCTTGAACCCCGGCCCCTTGTAACATGAAACCTCCTATGATGCAGACATCAACCTTTAGTCTGAGCTGTAAGGATTTGGGCACCATTTTGGAACTGTGGAAGATTTTCTTAATCTGTCAGATTTCTTTTTTTGTTGGTTCATTTGTTTGCTTGCTTGTTTGTTTTTCCAGACAGGGTTTCTCTGTGTAGTTTTGGAGCCTGTCCTGGATCTCGCTCTGTAGACCAGGCTGGCCTCAAACTCACAGAAATCGGCCTGGCTCTGCCTCCTGAGTGCTGGGATTAAAGGTGTGGGCCACCACCACCCGGCTAATCTGTAAGATTTCTTAAAAGTTCCCAGAGTGTTAGGCCCTTACCTTGCTGATTCTAAGGGATGTTATCCACCACAGTGTACCAGAAAAGGATCCATGAAGACTGTCTTATACACAGACAGGGATGACCCAGAGTGGGAAAACACTGATCATTGTGGGAATAGAACAGGGCTGCAAGAGGGGTTGCTACGCACTGCACATGAGTGAGGTATGGCTGACGTCCCGCAGATCCATCAGGCAAGATGAGAGAACAGCAGAGCATGTACTACAGGGCCAGTCAGGAAGTAAGGGAAGGGACTCAGTCTTTGGCTCTATGTTTTGTAGTCTAAGTGTTGGATTAAGGAATACATTCCACCCAGCAGGAAAGTCTGTGAAGAAAAGGGAAGGACCTGTTTGTCAGCAGAGTCTGCAGAGAACTGTTATTACTCACTTGCCACAGTATGCATAATTTAAAAGGACTCTGTAATGCTGGAGGCAGCCTGTGACCCAGCTGCCCTGTGTGTCAGGTGCTGGCCTTGGGAAGGAAGCAGAAGACTTTCTTATATCATGGAGCCTGCCCTTTGTCCTGCCTCTGACCACATGTTTCACATCACAAGTCCATACCTCAGGGATGCCTGTCTTCTCTCTGTTTGGCCAGCTGAGAATCCTGTATTCATGAGAAGCAAGCTAGGGAAATGGGAGCTGTACTTTTAAGCAGACATTCCTGGTGGATTGGCCGTAGGACAGTTTGTCAGCTCCTTGAAGTCTCTGAGAGAACTGTGAGCAGCAGCCAGGAAGCGGCAAGTGTAAGAGACACCATGGCTGTAGCGGAGAGACCAGGAGTAGATCAGAAGTCACTGGCGTTGGGTCTGGGAGTCATTGTCAACAGTACCAAAGGGAAGCAGTGAGCGTCAGTCAGAATGAATGACTTCCCGTCGAGGGGCGGGAGTGCCGTTAATAGTAAATAGAAAGACATCCAACTCCGGTTGTTAGGAGTCAACATGCCCACCTTTCCCATAGTACAACAGAAGGCCGTGGTTCTGCAGAAGCTTCCCCTAGCCCTGCATTTGGTCACAGGCTTCTGGGCCTTGACACTTCAAAACACCTCCTGTTCTGTTTTTCTTGATTTGTCTGTAAATGTACCCACTGTACACATGCTGAGCCTCTCTTTCTAGAATTCAGACCTGGATTTTTTATTCTTAAAACATGCTCTCCCTTTTCAAGGTAGAGGTTGGCTTATAGACAGATCTTGACAGTATACCCCTGGCAACTGGAAGCTTCCGGCGCTGTACACAATGTAACCCCCGCCTCCAGTGTGGCTTCCTAGGGGGTGTTGGGAGCCAACAGGCACCAGTTAAGCATGTAGTGTGAAGGTCTTCAAAGGCATAAACCACCCAGAATATACATCTACATTTGAAAGTCACAAGGGCATTAGAACCGACATAGATACAAGGACCTGAAAACTGGGAAGCAGGAAAAACTAGGGTATGAATTTGTGGAGAAAGACATGGCCATGTCTCAAACGCTGACTGGATTCAAGGCTCTGGGTGGCTGACAGGGTTGGTGGAAGGCTTTGGAGTGGTAGACCTTCTGGATGAAGGTGTCAGAAAGGTGCAGTCAATATGGTAGAGTATAGACAGTCAGAAGGACCTGGAAAGCTCCATGAAGGAGCTGGTATTTGTCTGAGCTCAAAGGAGGAAGTGGATTTGAGCCGATTAAGGTCAGGGGAATTACAGAGGTATCAGGAGATGGGAAAGAGCCGAGGAGGTTGTTGGGGGGTCTAGAAGAGTCCGCTTATCTTGGAGGATGGAAAGAGCAGAGAAAAGCAAGGGACGAGGTAGAAGGAGGCCATTGGCCATCTGAGATCTTTGAAGCATCCCCTTCATCCTTCGGCGTTCTGTTTCCCTCCACAGAACCTGCCTTGGCTTGTCTTTACTCCACAGTCAAGAGTTTCTCTGCTCAGGGCTCTACCATGAGGCTCTGTGCATCGCTCTGCCCGTCTCCCTGTAAGCTATGACCTTTAGATGAGTCTCCCTATGTCCTCTAAGGCAAGAGCTCTTGGGAATCCTGCTGCACTGCGTGGCCTGTGATCTTTGCTGGACTACTGAGGATAGGGGGAGGCTGACAGTCTGGTGACTTGAAGTGAGAAAACAGAAATGAGGGGCACCTGGAGACTCTTGAAAGTATGGGGGAGCCTCACTCTTTCCTCAGTTCATGAGAGTTTGGGGTGGACACTCTGGGTATCAGGGCAAGGTTACCCTCTATCTGCCCAGGGCCATACGTCTGTGGTGTGTGTGTGTGTGTGTGTGTGTGTGTGTGTGTGTGTGTGTGTGTGTGTGTGTGTGACTGACCATTCTTACTCATGCCCTCTCTCACACACACACAGGAGCACAACCACTCCTCTGTGCCCCTTTCCACCAGTGGACAGTATTGTTGTCTCCCCTTTGGCTTTCCTGACCCCTTCCCTGGTTGCTATGGGTGCTGTGGGGACTCGGATGTGTCCCCTCATATGATCCATGTGATGTTCCCTTCATAAGTGCTCATAAACATCTGCCCCTGCCTGCTCTGTCCAGGGGTATTTTAGTGACGCCTGGAACACGTTTGACTCCCTCATCGTAATCGGCAGCATTATAGACGTGGCCCTCAGCGAAGCCGACGTAAGTATGCACCTGTGTGGCCTGCGTCCTCTCTCTCCTGTCTGCACATTCTCCTCCCTGCCCTGATGTGGCATCACCTGGACAAGTCACAGATCCCAGTCACACTTGATCGGAAACTAGACATTTCCTCACAGAGGCTGTGGGGAAGAACCTTCTAGAGTAGAGCCTTAGCCCAAGGCCTCTGCAGACACAAATCACCTTTGCAGGGCTGACTCTCTGGCACCATTGACCCCAGGCACTAGTAGGCAAGGTAAGATAGGGTGTCTCTGGTTGTTCCATTTGCTCTGTCGAAATCCATCCCAAGTGACGTTATCTATGACATGTTTGTCTTGGGGCGATTTTTCAAGTGGTCCAGTGGCATATTGTTAATGGTGTCCTTTTCTTCTTTTTTTCCTGTTGTGCTTCCTGTCCTCTGTGGCTTCTGAATGCTTGCCTAACAGCACTATTTCACTGATGCATGGAACACTTTTGATGCCTTAATTGTTGTTGGTAGCGTCGTTGATATTGCTATAACTGAAGTGAACGTAAGTAGCAAACTTTGCGTCCCTTGACGTGATTGTGTTCATTAATTCTGACACAGAAGAGACGAGAAGGGCCACCCATGAATCTCCATGTGCATAAGAATGGCAGGCACTAACTCATTTTAAAAGACGGAAGTCAGTTTGAAGTCTCCCATCCCTTGTCCATCAGTTCCCCTAAAGAAACGGAGACATAAGCATAGAGCTGCCACTTTGAAATGAAACAACTATTTTTAGAAGATCGTACTCAAGTCTTAACTGTGCTGTCACTCTCTAGCTGGGTAACCTTAGTAGAGCTCCTGACTGCTTCGCGTCCCAGTTTTTTCCAGCTATAGGATGGAGTTAGTAACGTGTGCCTTGTATACCCACATGGTGCTGTGGTGGCACAGGAGACCCCTACAGCCATGCCTGGCTTTGAGGTTGTTGCCGACACTGCCCTCCTAGCTATGAGCCTGCTCTGAGTCTACCTGGTGACACTGGCCCTTAATCCCCCAAAGAGTGTTGCTGGTATGTGTCAGGAGAGAATCAGCGCCCTCTTTGTGACATGCAGTTTATTCGTGACAAGTGAGCACGTACGGAATAGGTAGAGCAAGCCCCCGCCACAGGCAGTCTGACGACTCAAACCTCTTCAGAGTTGGAGAAGGGGAGCACCAGCTTCCTCAAGGGAAGGTCAGAGGCAGGCAGCCAAGGGCCCTGTCCATTGGCCGGTACCAAGTTCATCAGCAGGCTTTAGTGGATGTCATTGTGTATGTCCCTCAAGGCGGTGAGCGGAGCTTGGGGAAGTAACGTTGTGTGGTGTCGGTTTTTGCTCTGTGTTGCTGGGTCCAGTGCCCCCTCCTGCGCCCCCAGTGCTCTGCTCTGCCTGGCTGACACGTGCAGGGCTGAGAATGGTCAGATCCATCCTGGTGCCCAGACTGCCTGTACCAAATAGGAACAGTGATATTCCTTGATACCCCCATGCAGCCAGGCTGACTTTAGTCCGTATGGATGGTTGGACAGTCACCAACCTGGTAGTTCCAGCTCTGCCTCAAACTTAACTTATTGGACTCAGGCTTCGGTTTCCTCACTTAGAGGTCCAGCAGAGTGAGTATATCTGCTGGGAATAAAATTGTGTAAATCTTTGTGAAAATACTTATTAAAATAGTGGGTTATGAAGACACACTATTATTCATGCAGTTTTCCTGTGTACTGTGTAAAATGGACTGTAAGACATTACCATGGCCACCAGAGTATGATATAAGCCCCCTCACACCAAGATCCATGATATGCTGTGTCAAGATACTGAGATGACATTTCACTAGGCCTGGCCTGAGTACACACATCCCCCATCCTCCTTAAGCTGAGACTTCTATAAATTCAACTTTACAAGACATATGCTATAGGCAGCTATAAAATTGCCATTCATGATATGTAAATGGCATCTGGGTGTAAAATAATCTGGTGTTACTGCAAGAACAAGAGGACCCTCCCTTGGCTGTCATGTGGCATCACATCTGACTGCTTTAATCATCTCAAGGCATGTGAAGTATCTATGATGTGTATCAAGGAACTTCCCATGGGTCAGAAACAACCTATGACAGATGTTGACATACCATAAGTTGTTGTCTTAACAGACATTTTAGGTGCTATGAGCCAGAGGTTATAAACTTTTATTTTCTGGGTACCAGGATGTAGCTGAGGCTTGTTTATCAGCTAGACACCCAGCTTTCTCGTGCTGCCTACCGGCTGGCTAGCTAGTATGACTTGGTACACTCAGAGGCAACACCTGCTTCATGGGCTGTGAGCTGGCCCCGCTCCTCAACTCTGGCTTGGCCTTGCCTGTCAGTGTCTCGGGATGGTCCTACTTCTCTGTGGATGGGGAAGGTCTATGCTTGAGTGTCTAGTTAGCAGTGTATGTCAAATGTCTGTGCAAGGCCTCTTTCGTGATATCCAGCTTTGGTTGAAGACTCACACAGGGGAGTATTTCCAGTCCCCAAACCTGCTGTCAGTCAGTGACCTTTCCCCGACTAGCTGTATTCTGAGACCAAACACTCCTTAGCCTTGGCCTTGGCAGTTTTCCACCCGGGGTTACCTACGGAGATCTGTGTTTGTCCACTGTCCCTAGATGCAAAGGTTATGCCCCCTGCTCATTTATTCCATCTTCAACACCAGTTTTACTGGACATCTATCGCTCGTAGGCCTGGAGCTAGACTCTGGGAATAATCAGCAATGTGAAAAAACAAAAAGACAGAACATTCTTATTCTCTGACGTTACAAATATTTCAGGATGGGAATATTTATTCCTACACGCTCCCTCTACACACACACAGTTCCCCAGGAGAGCAACGCATGTCACATCCCCGGTGGCCTTGACTCCTGATGTCCAGCATCAACTGAGCATGAGTACCCATGGTCCATTGTTGGCTGGTTTGAGTTGCCATTATCATCATCATCATCATCATCATCATCATCATCATCATCATGTTTTGTGATGTTTAACCTGCCATGCTCTCTCCCCCAGACTCTGTTGATCTTCCTTTTCTGTCGCCTAATTGATTTTTCATGTTGGTTTTATTTTTAGAAAATTGTAGCGGCAAGTATATATAATCATATATACGGTGAAGTCGTTAAGCAAAAGCACTCCTAGAGACTGTATACTTGGTTTCTGCTTTCCACCTCTGGTGTTTCACTGAGTTCCACAGGACTTGCTAAGGATCATCCGTGGCCATCTAAACTGTTACTTCTCCCATGTGTCCTTGTCCCGGACCAGGACCTGGGCGCAGGCTTGCTTGGTCAGTCACACTGGCTCTTTGACTTGCTAACACAGCCTTCCAGAATGAATGATCTGGCCTGGAAAATGAGAACTCTAGCTTGTTTGTGGTCTTTGCAACAACAACAAAAAAATGCTGATGGCCCTTTGCATTGTCCTGGTTGCATGCTCACCTGGCCCTTGCCATCTCTCTGTCCTCTCCATGCTCTCCACCCTGTTTGTCCATGGTGTGACGGCTTTCCTGGCCCTGTCCCCCATCACCTTTGGTTGTCATATCACCCAGCTGCTGAAATGGTGGATGACACCTGAGAGCCTTACTTTGCTTTCTCTTTGGTGCCTGTTTGTTCTTTGAGTTCTGAAAGGATCAAGCAACAACTTTTCTGGCCCAGGGATGGCTGTTGCTGACATTCAGTCTTTTTCCATCCCATTGTTGCCCGGGAGAGAGTGGTCTTTCTTAGAAACTGCGGCTGCTTTGTGTTTAAAGTCTACAGGAGCTCACTCTCAGATCCTAAGAGTTGTTGCTGCCTCGTGAAGTACCTGGCTTAGACACTGTCTCCACCATTTCATTCAGCTCATTGTCAGGATGAGGTGTAACAGTTCAGCTCTCAACTCCACGTGGTAGCTGGGGACCAGGCTGAGGAACATGCGTGACCTTGCAATAGCAGAAGCTACTGAAGCTGCCTGTTCCAAATCTTTAGGTGACAATGAAATTCTATTGAACATGGATCACCCAGGTCCTTGAGGCCATTCTTGAAAAGAAAGGCAAGACTTTCCTCTGCTTCAGGTCCTCCAGTGTTATCCATGGGCGATCTAAAAAGTTGAGCATAGTGCAGGTCACTAATCTCCTTCACCAGTCCTCTACCTTTCCATTCCCAGTGCTCCTCTATTCGTTAGAAAGAAGATAGAGGTGGAGATTAATCCCCTTGCATCCAAATTCTGATCCCTGATCACCTCCCAAAGACTCTACGCAGCTATAACAGCCCAAGTGGGCTTTTCTAATGGCCCGACTCTCTGTGACTACTCTGCTGCTGTGAGCTGTCTGCTGAATACGTGGCCCAACCTTGCTGTGGGCTAAGGACCGAAATTCTCCACTCTGAGACCATACTAGAATAACTCGGTGGCTTTCAAAATTCCTGAAGTGTAAAAGGACCCAGATCAGTTTAGAAGATCACTTGGGTGGCATGTGGGCATTAGTGACTTTTATGGAGCAGCCCAGGACCAGAGCAGCTGCCCCCTCTGCAGGTGGAGCAAAGCCATCCTAGGGGCCTTCTGGTTTGGAAGAGATTTGGTCAACCTGCATGGTCCCCCATCCATGTCAGATACGTCCTCCCCTACTGCAGTCCCTCCTGCCCTGCGGTGTGTGGTGGCAGGGGCGACGAGGTCTCAGGCCACTTGGGGGGTGCATGCAGCCTGATGTGCTGTGTTCTTTCGTTTCTGTGTTGTGTGGTCCACCGCTTTGTCTCCTGACAGATGCTGTCTCCTCTCCTCCCCCTTAAACAACAACAACAACAACAAAGACCATTTGACTAGATGTTGTGGTCCACACCTGTAATCCCAGTATGTAGGAGTGGGAGCAGCTACGTAGTGAGTCTGAATTTAAATTTAATGATTGATGATTGCCATCCTTCAGATACACTTAAAAAGATACACATTTCAAAAGTCAATTTAGCCAACTTTTATCAGCCAGAGGAAGAGGATCCCAAATGGCCTGTCATGGAGCAACACAGAGGAGGCAGCAGAAGAGGGTGGCCGGAAAGAGCAGGCTTGCTCCGCTCTTGCAGACCCCACATAGGTTACGGCATTTGGTAACAGTTGTCAAGGGCTTTCCCTGCCCTCTCTAGTCCTCTGAGCACAGACCAATGGAGGTGTGCACACACACACAGCTACACAGACTCTCACATGTGTACAGTCTAGCTGCCTGGGCAAGAGTGAAGCCTCCTCTCCACAGCCCTTAGGGGAGGGTGATGTGGGGGCAAGAGTGCTGGGAAACTAATACCTGTGTACGTTAAAGCCTTAAATTAAAAAAAACAACAATAGCAAAAACAACCCATGAGCTAAGCTAGGCATAGTGGCTCACACCTGTAACCCCAGAACTTGGGGGATAGAGACGGGGAGTCAGAGTTTGAGGCCAACCCAAGCTGCACAGTGAGAGCCTGCTCCCTGTCTAATGAACAAACAAACAACCAGCCACAGAACCATCCCTTTAAGGCTATGTGGTTACTTCTAGGGTGAGGTGATAAAGGAACTAACAAAATTGATGGACCCTGAGTTCTGACACGCTGACAGCAGAGCTCCTGCTCTGAGCATCCATTCAGGTGGCCTAGAGCCCTGTTTCTGGGTCCAGAGCAACTGCCCAGTTACAGGCATCCTCAGATGTAGTCAATCCCATTTTTTTTTCTTACTAAGGTCCATAGAATTCTTCTCTTTGGGCTCAGGAATCAGCATAAGAACCAAGCCTTTCTCCATGTCCCCAGGGGAGGAAGCATCTACTGGCTACCCCCTCTACCTCCCCTGCGTAGTTTTACTGTGTGCGGTGGAAGTAAGCCAGCCTCAGGGCGACCCTGCTGCCTCAGTGGAGTGGCAGTGGCCAAGAGACAAGAGGCTGCCCTTCCTCCATTCTTGCTTTTATTATTTAAAGATGCTTCCTGGTAGGGAAGACTTGCCTCCTGCATGTTTGCGTTTTCTTAAGCAATTCCCTGCAGGCACTGTTACTATGGTGAGCATTGAGTGCAGTGAAGAAGGGTTCAGTCCTCCTGGAGCTGAGAAACAAATGAGCACCGTTCACTGGTGGATTCCTAGGTCCTGGGCACCAGGCACACAGTTGGACCTGGCTGAGGCAGAACTGCTGGGGCTCAGGCAAGCTAGCCCATGACGTTCTTCCAGAGTGCTTGCCCGACTGGGGCCAGGCTGAACTTCAGACCAAGCAGAGCAGGTGGCTGGAGAGAGGCCTGCCTCGGTCCCTGTCACTGACCAGGCCTTCCAGCCCTTCAGCGGAGGCATTGATCCAGTGGAGCACATGTAGTCCTTAAGTGTGGGGACCACAGGCAGAGCTACTGTTTCCCCCATGGCTGGGAGACCTGCTACAGGGGGTCAGCTCCTATGACAGAGCCAGAGAAGCAGAGGTTTCTCTGGACCTGTCTTTAGAGAGCACTAAGGTATGTACCACAGTCTTTGACCAGTCAGTCGCCTGATACATCACACCTCCGGGAAGAAGCTAGACTAGAATAGTCTGTCTGTGTTCCTCTCAATGGCTGTCCCCACCTCCGGTCCAGTTCCAGCATGAGGCCCTGGTGTGTTCTCAGGGAGGAGCAGCTGTGTTGACCAAAGACATTAACTACCCACTGGTAAAAAGGGGGGAAATGTCTCCTGAGCCCTTGCTTCCTTCCACCCGCATTAATACATTTCAATCTTTGATTTCTTAAAGCCAACTGAAAGTGAAAGTGTCCCTCTCCCAACTGCTACACCTGGGGTAAGATCAGTGACTGGTCCCCAGGGGCTGGGCCGTCCGTCTCCTTGAGTTTCTCTGACCATGTCGAGTTTCCCACTGGTGTTCTGTATTCTCCATGATCGTCCCTTCCAGAGCGGTGTCTGCAGTGGTCTGCATCCATCATCAGTGCCCAGTACTCTCGAGCAGCCCAGCATTCTCCTCTAACACAGTAGAACACGTGGACATGCATGTGCTGTGTGGATGCAGTTCTCTCCCCTCCCCCGAGCCCTGTGTTGTTAGCATGTGACTTTTCCTTTCCTCATGTCATGCTTTTTGAGGTGAAAAGGCCTTAGAAACACATCTCCAAGTTCTTACCTCTGTCACCCTCGCGTCTGTTGCTGTTTTTCTGAACGTGTTGCATGTTCTCCTTCCCACTGGGTTTGACCTCTCCATGATAACCCCTCAGAACTCTGAAGAGAGCAATAGAATCTCCATCACCTTTTTCCGTCTTTTCCGAGTGATGCGCTTGGTGAAGCTTCTCAGCAGGGGGGAAGGCATCCGGACTCTGCTGTGGACGTTCATCAAGTCCTTTCAGGTAAGAGACATGCCCGTCGGGACTTCCCTTTCTGTCCTTCAGGACGTATGTAAGTCAGGGATTGTCATCTGTCCTGGAAGACCCCCAACTCCCTCTGAGTGACCACTGTGTCAGTAGTGATTATGGGCAGAAATAAGATCCTGAAACTCAAGAGATCAGCAGCATTGTCCAGATGGAAAGAAATGTAAGTCTCTGGAACTTTTGGTTGCCCAGAATGTCCAGCAATCGTGGTATCAGAGAGGGACAGTCACAACACATTCCCTGAAGCCTTAGTTACTGTTATAGTGCTGTGATAAGACATCATGACCAAGGCAACTCATAAAGCATTTCATTGGAGCCTGTTGACAGTTTCAGAGGGCAAGTCCACGATCAGCATGGCAGCAGGCAGGCAGGCAGGCATGGGTGCTGGAGAAGTAGCTGAGAGCGCACATCTTATCTGCAAGTAATAGGCAGAGAGAGAGAGAGAGAGACAGACAGACAGACAGACAGAGACAGACAGAAAGAAACAAGAGACAGACAGACAGACAGACACCAAGGCTAGGCCAGGCCTAGGCTTTTGAAACCTCAAAGCCCACTCCAGGGACACACCTTTTCCAACAAGGTCACACCTCCTAATCCTCCCCAAACAATTCCACTAACTGGGGAATCAAGCACTGAAACACAAGAGTCTATGTGGACCATTTTCATTCAAGTCACCACATAGCCTCTTTCTTAGATGAATGCTCCGCCTACATCGGGTTACCGGGTACTTGAGAGAATTAGAGTTCAGTTCTTAGAGTTCAGTTCGTTTAGGTATCCACTGGGCCTTATTTGATATCTGTGATTCTTTTGATGGGTTCTAGTCCATTCCTGAGCAGAATCAGCTTCTCCTGTACCTTCTGGTATTCTGCTAGAGACAGTCCAATCTTCTAGGCAGAGTCGGTTGAGGGTGAGGAATAGATGCAGATTTGTGATAAAGAGTGCAGCCATGTAGGGAATTCGTGAGTATGCACAGACATTGCAGGGTAAGCCATGCGCTTCTCTTCTTCATAAGTTAAATATGTTCATGCGAACCAATGGAGTTGTATAAGGAAAAAATTCAAGTTTGCCCCTCACCACCCCTGAGATCACCAGTAAAATTCAAGTAATATTATTAATTAATTAATTAATTAATTTTACAGTGAATAGGGAAAAGGGAAAGAAATGGTATGTAGGGAAAGGAGAAGACAAAAGCTCTCAGAAAGGAAATCACAGTCCTGCTGAGAAGAATGGTGACTGAGTAAAGGCGTGGACACACACACACACACACACACACACACACACACACACACACACACACACACACACGATGGGGAGGGGGAGACATGGCTCAGAGAGAGAAACAGGGCAGGCACCCTAGACAGGAGAGCCTTGGTGTAGCCAAGCCCTGCAATCCTCCATGGTCAAGTGTGTCAAGTTCTAGAGATGGGCTACTAAAATAATGAAATGCATTCATGTAAAACGATCCTGTTTCTTTGGAGGGTGGTTGGTTTTTTTTCCGAGACAGGGTTTCTCTGTATAGTTTTGATGCCTGTCCTAGATCTCACTCTGTAAACCAGGCTGGCCTTGAACTCACAGAGATCTGCCTGGCTCTGCCTCTGGAGTGCTGGGATTAAAGGCATGAGCAACCACTGCCCAGTATAAGATTGTTTTCAACCTATTTTCTGTTTTCAGTATTTATTACTATAACACCACACACACACACACACACACACACACACACACACACACACACACACACACACACACACACACTGCTTTTTGGATCAGAGGCATAGACAAATATATAACTAGTTATGCATTGCCTTAGGTTGTAAAAGCTGATTACACAGGAAATCCTAGGCGAGTAAGGTTGGTTGATACTTTGTTATCTTAAAGACAAGTTAAACAAACAGGCTGAGTACACAGCGGGATTAAGGACCACGTGACCTCAAGATGTATCAACTGTGAGGTCTAGCAGAACTTGCAGTCTCTGAATAAAATGTACCACCCGCGGTGCATTTTAAAGTGTTTTGCATTCTGAAATGGCTTTTGACCCTCTGACTCAGTAATTCTACCCCTAAGCTCCTATTCTAAGGAAACCCAGAATCAAGGTGATTTTGCATAAAGATGTTTCTTGGCTGCACTACAACTACTCCCCAGCCCCCACCCCAGATACAGAGGAAATGGAAGGAAGCAATTGGGGCATCTGGTATTTTGGAATGATTTGGTCAGTTAGAGTTTCATGAAGGATGCAGGATACACTTCAAACTCACTGGGATCTATGTGTCTGTATGGAAAATGTTTAGGGTTAGCACAGGGTAATGATGCGCTTGGAAACCTCCCCCTGCCTGCCCTCACTTTGTAACTGTAGGTGTGTAGGCACGTGGATCTCCGGGACTGAAGCACTTGTGCCGGGCTGGGCCTCATGTGGGAAGAGCAGGCACAAAGGCAGGTGTCCGACTCCCAGCAACCCCAATACTTTGTCTCTTGCAGGCACTCCCATATGTCGCCCTCCTCATTGCCATGCTCTTCTTCATCTATGCAGTCATTGGCATGCAGGTAAGTGGCAGCTGCTTTTCCCTCACAGAACCTTCTTCAAGGTGGTCCCAGGTCTGCACTTAGGCCAGGTAAAGTAGAAGGACAAGGTCTTGATGTTTCCAGCCAAATGCCTTGGCTACTGAGGAGATAAGGAGAGAGAACGTTATGGCCCCTTGGGTGGGATTGAACTCCCAAGACGGGTGCAGAGTTCAAGATGCAGCAGGAGACTGTTTTGTTAGCCCTCCTTCCTGCCGACACTTACACTCAAGTTTTAGGAGAATGAGCTAGATGGGAAGACCTGTGGTTGATCTGAGCGGCAGAATGCCATAGGCCCCCGGTGGAAAAGGAGATGCCCCAGTCACCAGTGTGGAGAGTCTGTGCTCTGTACTGATGATACTCTGATGGTGTTCAGTCCAAACACCTGCTGGTACCCTGAAGAATTATGCCTTATCACACTGGCATTCTCACGGACTTCCAGATGCTATGGTTAGGACTGAGTCTGGGCAGCACACTTTTTCAGAGAGGCATGGACCCAGGTTCTTAGACTGAGAGACTGAAGCATGTGCTCCAGGGTTGGGAAAGGTTTGGGGCCCTCACTGACAGCTGGGTCCTAACACCCTGGGGTAGCTGGAGGGTAGTGTACAGCTCTGGGTACCAGGAGTCAGAGGAAAATGACCTACACTGATAGAACGTTGTTCTGCCTAGAGAGGGGCGCATGAGAGAGAGGTGAGGTAAATCCAGCACAGGGAGATGTTGTATTTATATATTAATTTATTTGTCCTGAAGGCATAGAAGTACTTGTAGGAATTTTATTGGGAGTTATAAGACAAGAGTCAGCATACCAGAGTCTTTGTAATTGAATAGCACATGATGATGCTGTGTGCCTAGAGAGTCTTTGGTGTCACATGTCCTCGTGAAGAGAGGTAGCTCAGGGCTCTGCAAACTTCTTTGCACACCCAGCTCCACATTCTCATAGCCAGGCATTTGCCAGGACCCAAGACCTTCTGAAAGGTCGGTTTGCTCCATAATTCCAGTGGAAAAGCTTTGCTGGGGAGGCAAAGCCCGCAAGACCCCGCCCCTTTGTCTCCAGCAGCCGGTTCCTCTCTCTTTCCCACTCATCCTTGCTCCTCAGGACATCAGCTCCTTCCAGGTGACACTCCCTCAGTCTGGAGAACTCTGGCCCTTGTCACCTAACTGACCGCTGCTTCTCCTTCAGTCTAGCTATGTGCTACGCCCTCTGGAGGTCTTCCTGGTCCCATTTCCCTGGCACTGGGTAAATGGGCCTCTTCGCTGTTCTCTGTGGGGTTGGATCATCCCGGGACTTACTGTGTCTGCTTGCCACTCTTGATCTCCCGGGTAGTCTCCTCAGGGCAGAGACTCCTGTGGGGTGAGAATGGGCCTCTCTGAGACACTGCATTCCAAATGTTCAACCTAGTGCCCGGCACATGCTGTGCCCAACAGATCTGTGCAGGGTGCAGAAAGTGCCAGGTGTCCTAAAAGAAAGTGCTGAGTTAGTTCCAAAATCACAGGAGTCTTTCTATATGACTGTGTTAGCATTTCACGACCATACTTACAAAGAGAAAATGTTTATTATGGCCTGCAGTTTTGGTGGTCTGATCCATGATCGACTAGCCCCATCACTTTGTCCTATGACAAGGCGGGACACCATCATAGAAATGCATCATGGATAAATAAAACTGCTCAGAGAGGTTGGATGTCAGCTTCCCACATTCCCCTGTGAAGACACACCCCCAGTGACCTAAGGACTTCCCACTAGGCCCCACCTCTTAAAGTTCTACCTCTCAACAATGCTACCCTTAGGGACAAGGCCTTTAACCACATGAACCTTGGGAGAAGGTTAAAGATCCAAATTGTAATAATGATAGAAATCTGATTTTTCACCCTTATTAACTTCCTCATCTAGATGTTTGGGAAAGTTGCCATGAGAGATAACAACCAGATCAATAGGAACAACAACTTCCAAACGTTTCCACAGGCAGTACTGCTGCTCTTCAGGTGACTGGGTCCTTGAGGGTGGTACACCTAGAATTGTGAATGATGGGGGTTATGCATGTTTCTGGTTATCTCTTGGTAGACTCTTGCTTTGTTATTGTTATCTTTCTATATTTGTTAGTTACTTTGTTTGTTTTGAAATAGGTCTCAGTCTATAGTCCAGGCTGGCCTCAAACTCATGACAGTCCCCCGGCCTCAGCCTGTCAAAAATGCTGGGATTGTATGTTCTACTATGGTCAGATGCTTTATATCTTTTAAAATATTATTATTTCATATGTATGTATGACTGTGATATATGTTCGTGGGTGGACATGCCACTGTGTGCATGTGGAGGTCAGAGGACAACTTTGTGGAGTCAGTCCTCTCCTTTAATCTTTACCTGGGTTCTGGGGATTGAACCCAGGTCATCAGGCTTGCACAGCAAACACCGTTTCCTGATCGACCTATCTCCCAGGCCCCAGTTTTGTCTTCTTAAACAGAATTAGCGTTTCAGTTACAGATGAACTGGCTGCATTGTTAAAACAGCTGGAGGTCATTCAGATTGTAGCTGACACTTAGACCACCAGAAAAAAAAAATTGTAGGATAGAGACCTATGCATGAAGAGTGCACCAGAACCCAGACAGGAAAATGGAAACACAGCACAAACATGGGAACATTCTGCAAAGCCAATTAGGAGCAACCTAAGATGTACAACCTCACATTTTATGGGATTGTTTTTAACCCCAGCTAATACATTTTGCAAACAGTCTTCCTCACGCTGAGAGAACTCTCTAAAAACAAGGAAGCAATGTCCAATGACTCCAGTAGCTATAACAACTCATTGGTAATTCAGGTGGTTTCCAACTCTTCCCTTTCAACAAAAACAGTCAGGACTAATCATTAAATAATTGTAATAGGGATGTTTGAAGAAGAAACAGGAGAAAAATGAACATCCATTTATGTAAAGAATTGCATCAGACACTTTTATAAATCATATTATACCAGGGCCTCTAGTTACTAAGTTGTGTCTGAAAGTAGGCTTCCAGACTGTCTCGAATCCAAACGGCATTGCTACAGTTACATACATTTTACACAAGTTAAGAATTGTCTTCCTAAATGTTTAACTCATCATCTGCTTGACCCTTCCCCAATTAAAGCCCTTTCTCTTAAACAGGTGTGCCACTGGGGAAGCCTGGCAGGAGATCATGCTTGCCTGCCTCCCAGGGAAGCTGTGTGACCCAGACTCAGATTACAACCCCGGAGAGGAGTACACTTGTGGGAGCAACTTTGCCATTGTGTATTTCATCAGCTTTTACATGCTCTGCGCGTTCCTGGTAAGCCGTCTCCGGGAGCCCTCTTTTCCATTTACAGAACTGCTATAGCATTTGGGGTTCCGACCAGTAACGCTGTCCTCTCATAATGCTTTGAAACAGTTGGCACGCTCTGGACCCCACCAGGCAGGAGGAAAGTCTTGCTTAATCTGGCACGTGTCACAGCCATCTGGTTTGGGTTGGGCACTCACTGATGGGCTGGGGGTAATTTCCAGCCAACCTTGTTACTGAGGGCTGCTGTTTCCTTTCTAAAATTTCAAAGCCACTGCACATGGCTTTAAGTGCTTTCAAAGTGTGAGCTGTCTCTAGTTACAATTAAATTATAAGATTACAGTGTGCTTCAGGGTGCCAGCTAATGCAGCCACCCACCCCCTCCTGAGTGTGTGCCAAGCCATCTGGTCAGATGTTGCCTTTTCCTTAACCATTCTACAGTAAACGAGTATTGTGGCTTGCCTCTGCAAACGTGGATTCCAGTATTCCTGTAGTCAGGAGGCAGAAGCAGTGGAAGGGATCTCTCTACTGCCACTGAAATACCCTCTCGGTTGACTTTTCCAGATTATCAACCTCTTCGTGGCTGTTATCATGGACAATTTCGACTACCTGACCCGGGACTGGTCTATTCTGGGGCCCCACCACTTGGATGAATTCAAAAGGATATGGTCAGAATATGACCCCGAAGCAAAGTATGTTGAAAAGCATTCTCCGGGAATGTCAGGGGTGATTTCTGTGGAAGGGCGGGGCGGAAGTGGTGGACTGGAAGCTCATGTGGGTCACGCTGCCTAGGACCTCAGGCTGTGCTCTGCTTCCAGGGGAAGGATAAAACACCTTGATGTGGTCACTCTGCTCCGACGAATCCAGCCTCCTCTGGGGTTTGGGAAGTTATGTCCACACCGAGTAGCATGTAAGGTGAGTGTCACACCTCCAAATCTGACGGCCTGTTGGCTGCTTTCTTCCTCACACACAAGCACCAAGTGACATTTAGCCAGGCCCTCCGTAAGGTGGACATGTGGAGATAATAATAAATGTTTTCTGCGTTGGAGGTACTCTCGAGTTTAAAACACTTAGAATCTGCCAGGAACAATAAGAAGAAAAAGGGAATGCTTGCAGGTTGTCACCAGGTTAGCTGTCAGAGGAAATGATATTTAGGTCAGGGTCGGGTGGCTGTGAATGTCGCTCTGCGACAGTGTTTATCTAGCACGTGGAAGGGTCTTGGGTTTGATTCCCAGCACCACCAAACCAACATAAAAACCAGAGGAGCCATAGGAGTAAGTCAGAGGCAGGAGGGGCTTCACAGAAGGGAGTCCAGAGTCCAGACTGTAGCAGAAGGAGTCTCCGCTTGGCCAACAACAAGGAGTCTCCGATTGGTAACCACTGACTGGAACACAGGAAGAAGTGACAGAGGGCCCCATGCGTCCGCTGAACCTGATTGAATATTCTCCACCGAATCCTGTGGAGGAGGATGAAACTGGGGAAGAAATGTGAAATGTGAATCTCAGGTCCCCATCGCAGACTGGACAGACTGGAGGAAGGAGCTAATCAGGGCAGCCAGGATGAGGGCAGTGGGTGTGGGGAAAGAGTGGGCAGCATAGATCTGCTGAGGAAGCACAGAGGGGACTGCCTTGCAGACAGAGGAGGAGAGAGTGATGGGAAAAGAACTAATTTAGCCCTTAGCTTGGCGGTGGTAGACATTGAACCCTCGCTGGGCAGTGGTAGGCATGGTGACATGTTGCGTCGTGTGGCCTCTCTGCTGTCGAGTTCTATAGAGCCCTTTCCTGGGCTGTGGAGCTGACGTGTCCCTGGGATGAGCTCAGGTCTCCTAGCCTGTCTCTGTCATCCCCCCCACACTGGTCATGTGGAGCACCTAGTTCGTGTTGGCCCTTCTCCCATACAGCCCACAGAAGCTGTCTCATGTTACTGTAGCAACAGGAATACAAGGTTTGCCTGTTTACCCTCCCTCTCCTTGAGGAAGTCCATCCGGTCCAGAGAGCAGCACAGAACCCAGTTGTCTGAGTTTATCTTTGTTTGGATCCCACATTCCTCTACCTGAAGGATCTAAGCATCCTTAAGACACAAAGTCATCCATTTTGATGACTTGGGTATTGGTCAGGAAAGGTCAATGGAGGTCCCAGTCATCCTGGCTGCACTGATTTTAGACATAGGAAAAGTTGATAGTAGAACATGGAATTTAGGTGGGTTGCCCAGGTAGCTGTATTCTAGTCCTTCAGTGGGGTAGAAAAAAATCATTTAAACCTTTCTTTTTCAATAAACTGTTGGCCAAAAATAAAAATACATATATTATTTAATTTTAGATTTTGTTTTGTTTTTGAGATTGGGTCTTACCGTGTAGCACTGGCTAACCTGGAAGTCCCTATACAGACCAGGCTAGCCTCCAGCTCAGAGATCTGCCTGACTCTGCCTCCCAAGCACTAGGATATAGGTATATGCCACCACACCCAACTAGAAAATTTGGCCAGGCTGTGGTGGCGCACGCCTTTAATCCCAGCACTTGGGAGGCAGAGGCAGGCGGTTCTCTGAGTTCGGGGCCAGTCTGGTATACAAAGCAAGTTCCAGGAAAGGCGCAAAGCTACATAGAGAAACCCTGTCTCGAAAAACCAAAAAAAAAAAAAAAAAAAAAAAAAATGAAAGAAAATTTGAAAATATTAACGTTATTTAACACTTAGCGTGTGTCAGGCATAAAACGTTTGTGTCTATGATCTACTTCAATCCTCACAAGGCCTGTCAGCCTGGCATGCAGTCTGAATTTACAAGGAGGTGACTGGAACCCAAAGAGGGTGTCCTTTACCCCCGACCCCCCAAGTTCTCCTGCGGCTTTCCTTGATGCTGGTGTTAGAGGTTTCTGGAGGGGAGTAAGAAGTGGGAAATGTTGATCTATTCTGAAAGACCAAGCCTTCAGAGGAGCCATGGAGACCTAGCAGAGATACCACATGATGTTCTATTTCTAGAAACTTCCTAAAAGAACACATTCTCTGGGTTGTGAACAGTAGTGAGCTATACTAGTGGAAAGTCCAAGACACAGGCCCTGTGCCTGGCCTAGGTATCTGCTGTGTCATTTACTTATCATAAAACCCTTAAGGATGTACCTAGAGGGGAGACCAAGACTCAGGCCCTGTGCCTGGCCTAGGTATCTGCTGTGTCATTTACTTATCATAAAACCCTTAAGGATGTACCTAGAGGGGAGACCTGGCCCTGAAACACAGAGAGCTATGACTGAGACAAGATGAATGCATGGACAAGGACATTTAATTATTTAATATCAAATAGCATCATTAATGAAATTTGCTCTTTGTTATCCCAGGTTCCCCACAGATAGGAGGTTGTATTTGTCAGCATTCTCCATAGAAAAGGACTGATAGGGTGGCTGTGGGCACATATATGTGTATGTCTTCGTGTGTGTCCAGTGTATAGATGTAGATAGCTAGATAGATAGACAGACAGACAGATAGACATACATGCATATACATGAAGAGGTTTATTAAGCAGTATGGGCACATGTGATTTTGAGAAGTTCTACAGTCTCTCATCTTTTAGTGGGGGACTCAGGAGGCTAGAGAACCAGGGGGACCAGTGAGATGTGTCTCAGTCCACAGAAGACTGATGTTCCACTTCAAGCAGGCAGGCGAAGAGGAAATCCAGTCTCTTTGCATGTTTCTGTGCTGTGATTGAATGGTGACTACAGGCATCTGCTTTACTCAGCCCATCAATTCAAATGCTAATCTCTCCCAGAGCACCCTCACAGACATACATGGAAATGATATTTAACCCATGATCTGGGCAGCCCATAACTAGTTATGTTGATACCTATAACTAGCCATCTCAGAGATGCTCCAAATGGCTGTTGAGTTGAAGTGAATGTTGACTAGAGCATGAAAGAGGGATAAACAAAGAATGAACATCAAAAGGGCACGTGTCTGTCATAGAACATTTACATTCTCCTGAGGTGCTCTTTTTCATCTACAGAGATTAGTTGCCATGAACATGCCTCTCAACAGTGATGGGACAGTCATGTTCAATGCAACCCTGTTTGCTTTGGTCCGGACGGCTCTCAAGATCAAGACTGAAGGTGAGCACTCCCTGGAAGCAGGAAGCAGGACAGGTAGCAGGAGAGGGAGGAGATGTTACCCCTCCCCCATACAAACACACTTTGGTTCTCCCTTCTGGACTTCCTCTTAATGAATGGGATGCCTCAGGAAAGGGTGATGGATACAGGAAGAATATCTCTGTCTGGCCAGCTGAATACCCCATCCCTCTGTTTTTCCTTTATTCTTTGCTTTGTTCCATAATATCTGGAGTTGACTCATCACACTGCTTACTATACTGAAGGAGAAACAGGCAAGGTGTTGGGGCATAGAAAGAAACCACAGATGATTCACTCCAGCTGTCCTCCACCAACACCATCAGCGAGGCAACTCGCCCTTCCAAGCAGTAACTACTTTGTCCATGAAAAGGAACCACATGCAGAGAGGCCAGGGGAAGTTCTAAGCAGGTGGGGTGAGAGGTACAGAACCTACTGTGCGCACACACACCACAGGCGCCACATGTACCACGTGGTTAGTGTGTGGGATGTGCTAGCAGGTCCACATCTCAGCTGGACCTCCTTATCATGCCGCACTCAGCCCTGCTCAAACCTGGCTAAGCAGGCAGCGGAATGTGCCTCTGGGGTTAGCTCAGAGGCTACATTATAGATGGCATGGGGAGCCGATTGCTGCACAGGCTGGGGAGTGAGCCTGAGGTGAGAAGTAGAGGGCAGAAGGGAGGTGAGAGAAGACAGTAGGCATGTATCTAGTTGGAGGGCTAGGGCGGGTGTTCTCCACAGCACTGGAGCTCTACCCAGCAAAGGCAGCCTCCCCTGGCCTGACATGTGCCTCTTATGCCACACACACACACACACATCGTTAAGGGTTCCAGAAGGTAGGATGGCCCTACATGTTGATGTATCACTAGGAAAGACATACAGGGAGAAGTCAGGGTTAGGAGGTGAGGATGAGCAGCTACAGTAAGGCCTGAGACAAGTCTTTTTTGGGTGAAGTTTAGCCTGCATCTGCAAGAACAAAGGCAGGATTGGGGTATGCTGGAGGAGGGGGAGGGGAAGGAGGAGGAACAAGAGAAGGAAAAGGGGAGGAGGGAGATGGAGAAGAGCGGAAGAGGAGATGGGGAGATAGAGAAGAAAGAAGGGGGGAGGAGGGGGAGGAGGAGGAGAAGGAGGAGGAGGAGGAGGAGGAGGAGGAGGAGGAGGAGGAGGAGGGGGAGGAGGAGGAGAAGGAGGAGGAGGAGGAGGAGGAGGAGGAGGAGGAGGAGGAAGAGGAGGAGGAGGAGGAGGAGGGGGAGGAGGAGGAGGGGGAGGGGGAGGGGGAGGAGGAGGAGGGGGAGGAGGAGGAGGAGGAGGAGGAGGAGGAAGAGGAGGAGGAGGAGGAGGAGGAGGAGGAGGAGGAGACCGAGACCGAGACCGAATCAGAGGCAGTTGCCCCTGGTCTGGGAGCCGAGGGAGGAGCACAGGTCCTGTCTGGGGCGGGGCGCTATGGCGGAAGAGGCTAGTTCTCGGATTCCCAGGTGAAACAGGACTCTCCCTCAGTGGCAGGTCTTCCAGTTACATGGGCTCAGTAAGTATTTCTAAATATAGGAAGAGAATTTGGCACTCACTGTGGAGAGCCCACAGGGAAAGCTTTATCAGTAAGGCAATCCAAAGACCTAGCAACATAGTGAGGGGCAGGAGAGAGCTCTGGGCCGCAGAAGCAAGGCTTGCCCATGCTGCGTCCACATACCTCTTTGCCTTTTGGATCCAGGGAACTTGGAGCAAGCTAATGAAGAACTCCGAGCTGTGATAAAGAAAATCTGGAAGAAGACAAGCATGAAGCTCCTTGACCAAGTTGTTCCTCCAGCTGGTGGTTAGTGTAATCTCCTCCCTAAGGAGTTCTTGATCAAGGAGTTCATTTCAGTACAGCACCTGCAGACAGCCCAGAGAGGGAGTGCGGAATGCTTTACCAGACCAGAGAGCGTGAGCCCCACAGCTAACGGAGCCCTTTGGCTTCACATGAAAATATTTGGGTGATATGAAGACAGCCAAGCCAAAGAGAGGCTTCAGTGGGGAGGAGTCCAGACCCCGTGTGGCTAGAGCAGGGTTTTTGCTATTAGTAGAAAAAAATCAGTGGAAAAGAATATGACAGCTCTCACAAAATTAAAGGCTTGTACCTTTGGCCCCCAAAGAAATTCCTAAGTCTAGCTTGCAGTGTTAAATGTCTTGAGAAAAATGGAGAGATCTTAGGAAAGAATGCTTCCACAATAAGTTTAAGAAGACTGACCTTACCAGTGTAGTTACCGAGACTGTCCTTCAGCGAGAATCTAGAGGTAGAAGAACTAACAAGCATGCTTATTTATTTCCTTTTGTTATTTATCACAAATTAACTGACTAAACATTTAACTTTTACATATATATAATATCTACATATATTATATATATAGTGTTTCTCTACTTTTGTTTAAGTACATGTGGACGTAGAAGTGAGATGGTTATTTTCCAACTGCTTTGTTTCAAGTTTTAAAAGTGCAGAATCTGATTACCCAGTGGCCCCGCCTCCCCAGCAGTCTAGCTAACCCTGGCCTGGATGCATGATAAACATCTGGTATGTTTTTCTAACACATAGAACTCCAATAGGATGGCATGGTTCAGATTCAGAAGCTGAATCCAGCACCCAGGAAATGACAGCCTGGGGTGCCTGGGGGACAGAGGGAGCCATGTATTAGCCAGTTCTGCTTCTTAGTGGGATTGGCTTCCATTAGTGATTCGGGCCACCGAGAGCTGGCCCGGCCACTGCCTCAACTCTGGGAAAATAGCTCAGAAAGAAATAACGGAAGCGGGGGTGGGGATGGGGGGAAGGGGGGGTGGGTCCCACCTCAAGACCCCCAGCTGCCCAGACGCGATTCTGCCCTTTTAAAACTCCTCTTGGTTTCCTTTTTTTTTTTTTTCCCTTTCAGCTGTACATCTGAGTGGTCGCATGGCTTAGATGACCTGCTTTTTAAACTGTTGTAACACTACGCTTGAGCTTCCTCTGCAGCCTCCATTCCTTTCAACTCTCAGAATATTCTGAAGCAATTCTGTTTTAGGGTGGTGGCATGGAATCAGAGTTATCTCTTGCCAACTGGATTCCCCTACATTGTTTCTTGAAATACAGATGCATGCTTCAGAATAGGAGGCTGTGCCTGTCTGTGTAAACCTTCCATACACTAGCCTGAGACACTCACCTCTCTCTTGGTCCACATCTGTCTCTTTGGGACCACCACCTTCATTGTGGCCCATCTAACGCCCACAGGAATGGCCCCCCTCACACAAGGTATGCCTGAAGAAGGCCATCTGCATCACGGTGACACTCCATTTCTTTTCATCTTACTAGGAAAAAAAAAAAAAGTCCAGAATTGGGCTTATGATCTAAACCCCCTTCCTTTGAAAAAACGGATCCACATTTATCTCTACTAAACTTCTCATGAAGGATGAAAACATCCCCCATTTCTAGGGCCTGGTAGTTCTCTGTGTTTCTTTACATGGTTTGGGGTTTAGGATGACAGGTGTCCATCTGTTCCCCAATAGCAGCTAGAGGCATTATGAAGTCTTGGGAAGAGGTAGAATGCTCCAGAAGTTTCTGTCATGTCTGTTCCTGTGCCCAGTGTGGCACCTGCTTATCTAGTTTACATCTCATATAAGCTCATTTGCCACCGAAGGAGACCGAGCCGCAGTGACCTTCAGGCCTTAGTGGAGAGCTCTGGGTTGGGTTTCAGTGTCTGTATCCATCATTTGTCTCTTCCATTTCTTTTTCTCTTGTCCCCCAGTAGACCAGCGGTTCCCAACCCTTCCTCATCATTGGCACACTTAAGAAACCACACCGTGATAAAGCCTTTGGGACAAGCCGATGGTGGTTCCAGGTGTTAGTGTCTCCCCTAGTGTATGTAATGTGGTTAGAGGGCAGCAGAATGAATGATCAGCCTGTGTCCTGAGGGTGCTCAGGTGACCTCACAGCTAGTGAAGGGGGCAGAGCCAGATGCCCGTCTAGGCAGCCTTGCTGCTGGGATGTGATAGGAGCTGTCACTGCTCGTCATGAACTTGATGGAAAGGTGATGTCAGCAACCAGCTATGGAGGACATCCAGGGAGCGTCTTTTTCTCTCCTCTCTGCCGGGAGCTCACCACTCCTGCCTTGGGGCTGAGATGTCTCGGCCTGGAATCTTGCCTGGGTTCTCAGTGCTCTCTTGTCACCTCTGCTAGTTCCTGGACTTCACTCCCTCTCTTTAGAAGCTCCTCTCCTTGAGAGATGCTCCTGCCTTTGGGTCCTCATCCTTGGGCCATCTCTCTGGTTCCTCGGTCCCTTCTGTGTTCTACTGAGCCCAGATGGACCCACCGCCTGCATTGCTTCTCTCTGTTCCTTCCCTGCCCTGCCCAGGCGTTGGCTTTTCTTCTTCTTTAGAGCTCCTGTTCAGCCAGGACTCTCGGTACCGCTTCTTCTCAGTCACCTTTGAGTCCTGCCCTGCCGCTCGAGAGCTGGAGAGAGGTCAGCCAGCACTTCCTTTACTAGAAACATCCCGATATCGAGTAAAATGAGCCTCTACGTTGAGTCAGGGAGTTCCCCAGGGCTCATGGGACCTTGAAATAGAAAAGATATCTGCGTTGTTGAAGGTGGCAGAGATTCTGGGCTCTGTGGGTATGCTGGCCCAGCAGCCACTGGCCTACTAGGAAAGAACTAAGAAGGACCGGAAAGGCAGCTCAAAGAAGAGCAGGAGTTGGGTATGGCCAGAGCCAGGCTCTCCGTAGAGGAGGGCTGGAGGAAGAGAGGGTTCTGGGCTCAGGTCCTAGCTAGTTGACCTGGTGTAGTCATGTAACCTCTCCCTCTCTTAGAAGGATAAGCAGAATTGTTAGGTAGAGGTAGTGAGACCCATGAGGAGCGTGAACTGGGCTTGAACACTGCCCCCCGCCCCCATACCCAGTCATGGTGCCTAGCTATAGCAGATGGGCAGAATAGTCAGAACCTGGAGATGGGGCAGGGATGAGCTTTGCAGACCTGGATAGATTGGCTTGCTTTCCTTTGGACGGTGCCTCACTGGATAGGGTAGATGAACCGGTGGCCAGTCAGGGGCCCATGATTTCAGATGCAACACAGAGCCCTTAGTTTTCTTCAGCAACTTTTCTACCACACCAGGGCTTCCTTGGCTTGGGCTCAGGAGGAATATAACATTCCTCAAGGCCAGTCCACCCAAAAACAGCCTGCAAGATAATGCTGTGCAACTTCTGACAGGAAGGGCTAGAGAAGCTGTCCAAAATGGCCCAGCCATCTCTGGATGGGAACCATAAATCAGCCACACCTCACAAGTGGGCACTAAATAAAACCCACCAAAGTTAGATTAGTGGATTCAGTGGGTCCCAGTGGCCCCAAGCTTCCTATGCTCTAGCATCCATTTCAGTAAGTGAAACTGTTAGCTTAGCTTGAAACAGTAGTGACTGATGACTTGTAATTGTGGGACACTTGACACTAGGGTAGCCCACACCAGGGTTCGAGTGCTTTATGTATCTTCTCTTCCACATCCTCAATTCTTCTGAGATGGAGCTCCACTTTATAGGGGAGAATACAAGCTCACACAAGTTGGTCCTCTTACCCCGCCCCCATCCATATGACTCTTGCAAGGCCAGCTTGACCAGAAGCCCTAGAACCCACAGCTGTTCCTCTTCCCAGACTTTGGAGATCTTGCCAGATGGCCTACAATCCCCAACACAGCCCCACACAAGCTCGGCTGCTAATGTAGCCTTGCCAGTTTCTGCCCAGAAGACCTCAGCACCCTACAGATGTGGTGGCATCAACCTTGGGGGGCAGGGCACAGGACACACTGTCATGTCCACCATGGTTTACCATGAGACAGTCAGAGCTTCTATTCTGCCTCATGCATCACCTTCAAAGTTGTCAGCGGAGTTCTGATTCCCGAGTGATACATGCTGGAGGTTGTTTCTGAACAGAGCAGAAATAGAGCCTGCTCGGGGCCGAGGTTAGTTGGAGCTGTCATTGCAATGCAGAAATCCAGCAGTTCTGAATTTCAAACCAAGAAATGGTCTCGGAGCTTATTGGCAAAGAATGGGGGAGCGTGTGAGATCTGGAGCTGCAGTCTCTGTTCCGACCTTCCTCTCCTTCCAAGCTTATCCGTCACCTTTCTAGGTCTCCATCCTGTGACATAGGGATTTGGATGCTTAATTGCATTTGATGCTTATGGTAATTACACATGCAAATCTCTATGCACAGGGTGGAAAATGTGGCCTGTGAGGCCTTTCTGTTTTGTAATGTTTATTTTAAGTAAATAACCAAGGTGGCGCTTCATATTGTTACTAATATGCTACTCTCTTAAACTCGTGATAAATATACATTACTTTCTGCAACCTTGAGGATCAGTTTATTTAACTGACTCTAACTTTGAGCCTTAACTGCTTTGCAAAGCTTTGCTTCTTGCTAGACCAAGCAACCCGTATTTATAGACTGAGAACCCAGTGCCTTTTGGACACTGTCCCGCCCCGCCCCTGCCCCAGCCAGAAGTGAGGGTTTAGGCTCTTGGTCCAAATGTGCTGATTCGGGAGAGCTGTGTCTGGTCTCTCCGTTTAGATGATGAGGTAACCGTGGGGAAGTTCTATGCCACTTTCCTGATACAGGACTACTTTAGGAAATTCAAGAAACGGAAAGAACAAGGACTGGTGGGCAAGTACCCCGCGAAGAACACCACAATTGCCCTACAGGTGAATTGTCCTCTTGTTCTGTTCTCTCTTCTCACTAACAATGTCACCAGCTTTAATTTGAAATACTAGAGAGCTGACTATTCATGGTTGAGCAGTGCCACAAGGATTTTGTTTAAACTGAGATACTGCACACTCCCCTCACTGTGGATTAGCCATTTCTGAGCCACAAGGTAAGTCCTTCCCCTCTTCCTGTTTTCTTTGTTGCACCTGGCACCGGCCACCATCTGGTCTGTGTGCAAGGCCCCCAGGACAGCCATGATGGAAAAGGAGTGAATGCTCACCTCAGAGCCTAGCCACCTGGGTCTTCTCCGAAGGCAGCATCCTCTAGGCAGGCCCCCTCTCCCATAGCCCTGGGCTCAGGGTCTGGCTGCCCAGTGTACAGCTTTCCATCTGAACGCAAGAGCTTTGTTTTGTTTCTGTTTGTTTCTTACCCCACGGCTTGTTGGTTTTTTGGTCCATTTCAATAACATCCATCACTCCCTAGTGTGTACTGTGTGCGTGTGTGCGTGTGTGTGTGTGACGTGTCTGTCTCTGTGGGCCGTCTCCTGATGGCAGTGAGGTGTGCTGTGCAAGTGCAACACACACAGGCCAACCTCTGGCCCATCTCCCCTTTCCCAGGACCTGCCCCTTCACACACATGCATGCACTTACGCTGCTGTTGTCCCTGCCAGGTCCCTAGAGTGTGGGTGTGGCATTTAGGAATATCTGGTCCAATCAGGGTTCAGGCATCCAAAGGCAAGAGAATCCTAAAGATGTCCAGAGCTCTGGGTGGGAAGCAGGCATGGCGAGGCAAGGAGTCATGCTAGAACTTGCAGGCAGAGGAGCTAGAGAAGGTAGTTTAGGGGCTGGTGGTGTGTAAAGAGGGCTGGGGACAGATGCCAAGAGCAGAGAAGAGGGAAGTATGGCAGTTGGCAAGCTGTCTTGAAATCTTGTTATCCATGCTACCTGGAGTGCCTTCAGACCATCATAAATAAAGACATTTTCCTTGCTTTTTAAAAAGTTTACATGAAAATTCCTTTTATGTCCCTGTTCTCATGGTTCTTAAATGTGGCCTTGTGGGTGTTGATAAAGTACAACATGGAACAGCCCTGCACTTTGTTCCAGGAGCAAATACCCAGCATTGTTGTGTGTTCAAAGGGATAACTGTGGAAGCTAAGGCCTGACTGTGATCTCGCTGTGAGGAAGAGAATGAATAAAGGTGATGTGAATAAGGAATGTGGGGTGTGTTTGTATGTCACAGGTTAGTAGATGACCTTGCAGACGGTGACCAGCTGCCTCCTGGTGAGATCCTAGGGGTTGGATGAATATCTTGTTCATGGGGCAGGTGGTCACCCACACCTGTTCAAGTCAGTCTGTGTTCTTCCGTTCCCTGATCATGTGACCTTTCGGTAGCTCAGTGAGTTACAGGCTCAGCCGTCTGGCCTGCTGCTGTCTGGGTTCATAGGCTTCAACTTAAGCTCTCTCCTGTCCTGTTGATCTGGTTTGCAAAAGTGACAGCTATAACTGACTCCAAGATCACAGTTCACAAGTAACTGCGCAGGACAAAAGCTGAAAAGCTGAGTTTGCAGATTTGAGTAGGTCCCCGGTTTACATATTCCTGGTGGCAGCATGACTAGGTTGCCACCAGCAGAGAGAGCATTAGCACATGCTGAAGGTCATCCCCTCACATGACCTTCTGCCCCATAGGAGAGGCTGGCTGGATCTCTGAGTTTGGTGGGTACCCTTTGCCTACCCAGAATGTCTTGCTGCTCTAGAAGTCTAGTTGGCAGGATCAAAACTTGGCATTCTAGACCGCCCTAGAATTGATCTCTCTGCTGCAGTCAGTTGTCTCGGAGTTACGAGGCTCTTCAGGTTCCAGTGGAGGGTATATATGTAAACACTTGGATGTGTGTTGGGCGAAGGCGTCGGGGGAGGCAAGACCTTTTCTGAAGCCCTAAGGCTTGCTCTGGTGGCTGGATGCATGTTTTGGTATTCTGAAATAGCATAATCAACACATGGCTTAAATAGTCACATTTTGCATATGGAGTTTACTGAGCCTTGAGCTGAAGGTTCAGATGATGTTAACAGTATGACATAAAGGTTCTGGGTGAGAAACAACCACGTTATATTAAAATAATGTTGAGGGTTTTCTCCCGTTTAAGACTTTTCATTTTTATTATTTAAAGAAAGAGTTTCATTTCATTGGTAGGAGTCAAATATTTCTAGTTAGATGATACAAATACGTTTTCCCATGGTTCTATTGAGAATTGAGACTAGGGCTGTAATTTGTATTAAGCACACAGCATAGAAAATTAAATTGTGTTCATAATCTTGACAGTTAAATTCTGAAAAGGCATTTGATTCTGAAACAAGCATTAAAAATAGAAAATGTTTGTCTCCTTGATGGATAATTCTAATTACATTTTTGGCTTCCTCTGCTATAGAAATGGCTTTAAATGTGATTTGTTATTCTACATTTAATTAGTGCATAAGGAGGCCTCCTTTTTTGCATTATGAAATAGCATGGGTGATGGAGCAGTTAGGGAACTGGGATTGGTCGTGGGAGGAAGACACACCCTTGAGACAGCCGCCGAGGGAGGACTTGGCTGCTTGAGAAGGGAGCAACATCATTCTGGCAACAGGGTGCTGTTGGGCGTGGCTCCCGGGCTGGTTGTAGTGGGAAGTGGAGTGTGGCGTTATTGTGTGAACCGAAGTGAACAGCCAAGCTTGTGCGTGCTGGCCTGCAGAGTGAGGTCTGTCTGAAGAGCTCTCAGAACTGGCACCCAAGCTCTGCACCCCCATTTCATGTCATGGCTCTCAAAGGCACACAGTCGCACTGTGGTTTGAACCCTGTGGACTCAGCCTGATCTCCATGTGTTCAGACCAACAGTAGTGTTAACCTTCCCTGTGGTGGGTGATGATGACTGAAGGTGCTCCTGCCTCGGCATGGGAAGGAGCTGGGCACCTGTGTCCTCTGGCCTCTGTGGTCTGAATGAGTGTGCACTCTTCATCCATCCACTCCATCCCTTCATCCCCATCATTAAAACTAGCCCATCATTAAAACTTCTCTCTAGCCCGTCTATGATGGGAGCCAGAGAGAAGCTGCATCCAGCCTTTTGGTTTTCTCTCACTCATCTGACATTTACATATTCCCGTTCATTTGACTCAGCATTTGCTCTTCATCCATGTTGCTACATCCGAGTGACCTGCAAGTTTCCACAAGGAACAAAGAGATAAAGGAACATAGCCACGCAGCCACAGAAATTCTCAGTCCCCATTCCCGCAAGTAGTCACGCAACGAGAAGGTCCCATGGAACCTCCAGATGCCGCTGGGATGCCACGTGCTCCGATGAGTCTAGTTGTCTCTCTGACAACAAAAGATCCCAAAGGGGGGAAAGTTTTGTTCATTTCTCTTTAACATTCCAGTCTTTTGTTTGCTCTCATGGAGTCTGAGGACACTGTCCTCCATGCTCTTCAGATGAGAAGCCGCCCAAAGGAACCATAGGGAATCCCAGGCAGCTAGTCCTCTTTCTGTTTAGAAGTTGGATTTAAGGAGCCCATTGGGTATGACGCTGCAGGGTTAGGTGTTGAGGTTGAGCGGCTTTAACGTCTGTGCCTTGGCCACAGACGGGTGGCTGGGAGACGTGGGTGGTATGAAAGCCTCCATTAGTTTCAGTCTTCAGTATCCCTCACTGTGGCCTTCTCAGGCATAGTGCACAAAGACAGGAAAGGTTCCTCCCAGAGATCTGACCTCTGAGTGGTTCTGTTAATCTTGTCACCTCCATCTGGAAGGCAGTGAGATTCTCTTTTTGAGAAGCATGATTCCACTCAAAGCCGTAACACTGCTCTTATATATATATATATATGTTTTCCTTTTTTAATGTAAGAGGAGAACAGATGCTAACAGATGAGATTTCACTGGCTGATTCGTTTGTTTCAGATGCTTGAACGGATGCTTTAGAATTCTCTGCCTGAGCTACTGCACCAAGCTGGTTAGTCCGAAGGCGCTTGTGGCTAAGGCCTTGAAAGGGCAAACTCACACTCGGGCTTATTTCTACTGACGCAGCATTTCAGGGGAAATGCAGGCAAGAGCAATCCCAAAGCCCCGGAGAGACCCCTTCCGAGCAAGGCACTCCTCCGGAAGGCAGAAGCGGGGCTGTGGCTCACCTGTGGAGCCATGGCTGCCTGTTGTGGACACTGCTCATGGTGGCTCCTTTTCATGAAAGGGAACGTATGAGTTACGGTTTTCCCTTCCAAGCCAGAGACTCAGTGAAAGGGACAGAGTGAGAGAGAGAGAGAGAGAGAGCGAGAAAGAGAGAGAGCAAAGGAGACGGGCAACTGCCCCGCAGAGAAATGAAATGAACACAACTTGCTGATGCTGGCCAGTAAAAAAAAAATAAATACAATTAAATTATATATATATATATGTATGTATACATATATATATACATTAAAAAGGATTAAGCAGACCTGCCTAAGGTGGGCAGCTGACTCCGTCCCAAAGTCCTGCATCCCTAGTTTGCCTGAACTCCCAAAGACTGGCAGGCTGATTGGCACTGAGCAGACAGAGTTCCTTTTCTATGCCAGTATGTCATGACCTCCTGACTGGGCGCCCGGCCCTGCTTGCTGCAGTGACCCAGTCCAGAATGCACTAATAAGTGGAAGGCCAGGAAGCTCAGACACACCCATTGAAACTAACACATACACCCGCATGCCAAAACCAACCAGGCAAACCTCAGGTTCCATCTTACTGTGTCTGCGGGAAATGCCACCACACCCAAACCTCATCTAACATTGTCTGTCTTTAACTCGCGCTCAGAGCCAGTCTGGGATGCCTCTTTGGAAGCAGTGTGGTCTAGTTTCAAGGACACCGGGAGTCAGGGAACCTGGGTTCTAGTCCCAGCTCCAGCATTCACTTGCTGCGTGACCTTGGGCAAGACACTTAACCTCTCTGTGCCTCAGTTTCCCCATCTGTAAAATGGGGGTACTAATGTCGACCTACCTCACAGGGCTGTTGTGAG